TCAGAAGGTCGCCGATTCGATCCTGAAAAAAGTCGTAGCTTTTTGATGGTTCCAAACCCTCAGCTAGACCTTTTATTTTTGGGATTTTAATCAATTATCCTGACTAATAAACCAGCTGATCTGACTAATGAAACAGCTGGTCTTAGTCAGCACCAAAGCTACACAAATCATTTAACTCCATTCTACACTTACCTTGCGTTCATATTTAGCTTAAAATACACACCCAAGTGTATACGGCCTCCAAGAATTGGTAGTTGATGACTCTTTTATTAACTCATTTTTGCTTAACAATTCCTCATAGATGTTTCTGTGTTGATAGAATCGCCACGATCTGCAACCGACAGAAGCTGGCGGCCAAGGTGGCTGGTGATCAGAGCTCCCTGCTGTTTCTGGCCCTGTACCTGCGGGAACCTGTCGAGAGTCTGGCGGCTGTCATTGACGTCAAGGACAGATCAGCTGATGTCATCGTCAGAGACTTCGGAATCGTATTGCGAGTCTACACTGATGTAAGTGATCGTATGTGACTCAGTAGAATCTTGGTATCAAGTCTCTCATGGGGGTTATCAAGTAAAACTCGTTATCAAGGTTAACTTCTTATTGGGGTTACAGTAAGATGAATTAAGGGTCTTAAGGGAAAATTGCACTTGTTATTGGTTTCACTGTATTTTACCGAGAGCTCCACTGTATGTGTAGGATTTATAAATTCAAATTCTTCGTTTTGAGTCAATAATAGATGGCTTGACAATTTGATTTAAGAAATTATGAAAATAACAAATCTTTACAGACGCCCTTCTTTTGAATCAAGCTTCTTAACTTTGCCTCGTGCAATTTATGGGGAATAAACTCAACCTAACAAGGAAATGCTCCAAATCTGTAAATTTTACAAAAAATTTGACCATTTTCCATTATCCCATTTTCCCTTATAACCACTTCCCCTTATAAGAGGACCATTTTCCCTTATAAGTATTTGTGATTCTTTCACTCAAAATTGCTGATGCAGAAATGGGAAAAAATATATATACAGCGTGTAAGATTATATGTATGAAGGATTTAAAGTGAATGTCAGCTACAGCTAATTTACTTGTGTATTTGATAAATCAAGCGCTTTTCTCTTATTTCAGCCCCTAAAAGCCGAGGTTGAACATGTGAGTGAAGCCAACAAGTCCCAATTGTACATACGATGGGAGGGGATAGAAAAAGTACAACTGATTCAACTTTTCAGCGTCGTCCGAGTTTTGGTGTCACGAGATAAAAACGGACTCAAGCTGGCAGCTACTCTACTGCCTTCTGTTTAAATCTTTGACGATTTTGATTAATCCTAGTAGATTTGTACAAATTTCAAAGCTGTAAATATCCTATGGATGTTTGAATAATTAGGTAAAATACGATAGGTTATGGTTTGTTTTTGTTTTCATAGAGTGAACATTTATTTTAAAAATTAGGGAAGTTTAAGTTTTTGTGTACTTAAATTTACCAACATTGTAGAATGAGGATAGTATCATATAATCATAGACTTAATATAATCATTTTATGTTTTCACAACCTCTGGAATTAGTTTAGTATATCTGACATACTCTTGCCCACTCTATTATTTTATTTTGTAGATGTGTAAAAAGTCGTAGTTCCACTTGTAATAGTGTTCTTTTAAGAGTGATAGTATTTTTTTTATGATGGTGTGTTTTATTTTAAATTTCTTAAACCATATTTTTTACGACAACTGCTTTCACTTGCTGTGTAACTAAGTAGATTTGTAAATATTAAAAATTGTATATCTTCTCTCTATATTTACGAGATTTTAACTGTAGGTGTGCATTGTTTTATTTAGTACAAAGAGACTTTAGTTATTGCTTCCAAAAGTTTGGAATTATGTAGTAGTCACTCATCTTTACTAATGTAGTGGGCTATTTGCAAGTGTTGTAGGCAGTGCTCGATTTGTGGGGGAACACGGTGGAACAGAGGGTTCCGGTACCTCTCTTTCGGAAAGATAAAAATATTACTACTAACCACATTAAATAGGTTACAGTTCCCGCACCTCATTTTTTACAAATCGAGCACTTGGCTGTAGGTGTTAAAATGTAAAGTTTTAAATTTTCTTCTTTATTTGCAAAATATAGAATTTTTTTATTTATTGATCCTCACAAACTAGTTATGGCTTACCCGTTTGAATGGGCGTTTACCTTGTGTTTTGTATTTTTCAATGAAAAATACAAAACAGCTGCAATGTATTATACTGTATCTTGCTAGTTTAGGTTTTAATCATTGTCAATTCCAAGGTAATTTCTGTCAAAAATTATTTGATCATTTGACTGTAAATAATGTAGTGAAAATGTGCAGTGCAGATTTTCTTTTGAGAATTATAATTAACTATAAAGATATCTTAGATTGTACATTGACATCCTGTATATTATAAAAGGTTACAATGTAATTATATGAAGTTTTTTGGTGAAGATTGTTTTAGGCCTGTGGTTTTTTAAATGATTGTGTAGTGGATAGGTTTATCAACAAGCTTATCTTGATGAGGAAAATGCATATATAACACATAAATGGATAGAATTTTCAGAGCTACTGGCTCCTTCAGTAAAAGTTTTGGTTTTCTTAGTTCATAGTTTTGTGGTTAAATGAAAACTAAGCCTCTACTACTGAAGGAGCTGGTCGCACTGAAAATTCTATGTGTTTATTTGGTAAGCCTGCTGTTAAACCTATCCATAACAAAATTCATGAATTTATAAAATACATGACCAATGAATATGTAACTCCGTGGTACAGTAATTTTAAGATTTACATACGATTATGTCTTCTTCTATTATATTCCTCCTTCATATCTCAATAAGGTTGTGGTTTAAGTACTTGTAGAAAATGCTCAAACTTATTGTAAATATGTATAAAGTGTAAAACTGTCTTTTTAAACATTATTTATCCATCAATGTTGTAATATCGGTTAAGTCTTGAATCTTGCTGGCATGGATTGTTTGTTGTATTTGTGTGATATTTGTCATGAAATTTATCTTACTTGGAATCATCAAATCCATGTATTGTTTAGTTTAGCTTTTGTTACCACTGATTTGTATCATTGAAATTCTTCGATATTCTTTCTATCAATATAATTTCCCTACAGTTCTACCTGACAAAGTGAATTTCCTTACACTGATTACAGCATGCAAAGTAGCTAATTGCTGCAATTACTTTTGCCGCTCTCCAGTATTCCAACCAAACAACACGAAACTGTGTGCTTTTATTAGGCAGGTAATTTGTGTACGCTTGAAAATAAGTTGACAACACTAAAGATACAACTACGATCAGCTTGTGCAGCACTTCCCCTTTCGCTCAATGCTTGGATTCAACTTAACCTAAAAACGTGTTGTATAGTGTGTTAAAATTAGTGTTGTTTAAGTGGAACTTTGCTGTACACAAGAGAAATGTTTATGGACCAGCCGTAGGCGAGTGTGGAAAGTTTCTCGAGTGCAGCAAAGACAGTTTCCACTCCTGTTATAGATATTTTTCCTACAGATACTATAAAGCATATAAATAATTAGTCTTTCAAACACAGTACAACAAGTTTTTAGGTTAGGTTAAATCCAAACATTGAACAAAATGGGAAACACTGAACAAGCTGTTCATTGTCGTAATATCTTTAAGTGTTATCAACTTATTTTCGTATTACATGCCTAATAAAAGCACGCTGTTTTGTGTTGTTTGGTTGGAATACTGGTGTGCAGGAAAAAAACTGAGGCAAAAGTAAGTAGAGGCAGCAATTAGCAACTTTCTTTGCTATAATCAGTGCAAGGAAGGCCACTTTGTCAGGTGACTGTAGGAAATAACTATTATGATGTGCTGGATTGCATTTATCTAAAACAGGTGTTAATAACCATTAGTGAAATTCTAAGTAATTTCAACTATATGTTCTTAGCAGAATGTTCTTGGCAATATGGAAGAACATTGTTTTTACACACCTGGAATTCAGGGGCACTCCTACATTGCTAAGGGTATCTATTTTATTAATTTGGCGATTCTTTGTTGGGCAGCTACGTTGGCATTTCGAAAAACCAAATACTATATCTTTACAAACCTGTTAATCAATCATATCCCCAAATTTGAAAAATTTTTTAAGGTTTATTACATTTCAATGTGCTTGTTATTTAATTTAAATAAGTTAATAATTATATTTATTGTCTTTGAAACATCTTTTTTAAATTAAAAATCCCCTTTTTGTTAGTTCTGTCTACTCATTTCCACCAGTGTTACCTCAACCAATTCTTGTACAAATGCACCACATAAGCGTGATATCCAAATATTTTAACAATTTAGAAGGAAAAATAAACGATGATTGGGTAAGATAAGTTTATAATCAATGTTTGTCATAGAAGAAAAAACTAGTATTTTAACATTTTAAGAGGGCAAAAACTCACGAAAGGCGAAGATAGGCTTTAAACAATTTACATTTTATAAGTAAGAGCTGTTCCTGTGTAAAACTCCATATAGCGCATAAGCCGCAACAAAGGCCTACGCCCTACTAGGCCTCAGAGCTGCAAATGGTACAACTATGTTTAGCAAGTTGGGAGCTGCCTTGTTACAGCTTTTGCAAAAACTAAGGAGCTACATGCATAAATGGGCCTTATTTAAAAAACGCTCCTAGTACTTTTCAAGAAAAAAATCTTGGCAGTAAAATTATTTTGAAATAATTAAAGATTGTGTGTACCATTAAAAAATCAATTACTTAGAGAAAACACTACCATTAAAGCGGTTTGATAGAGCGAAGAAATTACAGTACCTAATTAAGGCGTACTTTATTTTATTTCTTTCCAGAGAGGACCAGATCAAAGTTACTGGACCACGCAATGTTTACTATCCACTAACTAAATTTCCTTTGACATTTTATTGTTAACCGGCAATTTAAAAAAAGTATGTTTACTTCTACAAGGACATAAAAAATAACTACCAGTATCTCAAATAATTTTTTTATTCTCAACAAAAAAATTATTATAAATAGAATTAAAGTATCACAATTGAGTAATAATAAGTGTACATTTTAGTCCAGCGATAGATTTTCATTATCTTTACAAAATTTTATAGGTATTGTTTGAGTAAAGATTGCAAAATTATTTCCATTAATTACTCACTCACTTTTTATTTACTATGTTCATAATGAATGGGTAATAACATAATTGCAATTTTGAAAAAATAGTAGAATTTTGTGCATAACCAGACCAAATATACGATACATTTACACTATGAGGCCTTAATTATAAAACCCTTATCACCATATTAATATCTAATATATACAAACAAAACAAACATATACGTTATAGGAATATTTAAAAAACATTACAAAACAGCAGTATAAATATCTTAAATAATAAGGCTATAATTGAGAAATATACATTTCCAAGTAAAAGAACAATCAATGTATTCTAAGCTTTTAGCTACAAAATAATTATGAAAAATACAAACTAAGTAAAAAGACATTAAAATGTATATCAAATAATTTTTAAATATAAAATTAATCTTTCCAGGTTACAGCCTCAAGAACGGTTTTATTAAAATTGCATGAGAAATGCACAGAGATGGCAAAATTTTTCTTGCACATTGTGAATTAATTTGCTACTTAAATTTAATTTAACTAACATTGTTATTTCCATCTAATATCCAAAAGCTATACTTCCCACTTTGCACTTTTAGCTTTAATTTTCTTAGGAACATCAGTTTTATTTATTAGTTACACCGGGAATGCCGTAAAACTTAAATAGAACCATAATGAACCAATTTTATAAACACATAGTTAATGGAAAAACATAAAATAATGTAAAAGTTCTCAAATTGAGTGTTACTGAACTAATTTTGAGCATAAGTGGCCAAGACCAATTTCTGCTCTGAGGAAGATATTACTTTCCCATTTCATGATATGAAATTTTTATGGGGGAGTGAGCTGGTCTAGCTGTAGAACTAGAGCATAGAACTTTATTCCCCGAGGTCCCGGGTTCAAATCCCACCAATTGCCAACAAATGTTATCTTGGAGATAAAAGCTGCAACCTCTAGGCCTAGTCTGAAGTAATGTGAAAAACAATTTCGGCCTATAGCCTAGTAAAAAAAAAAAAAAAACATTTTTACCTTTCATAGATCATTGCTCGTTGACTCACAATGTGTTGATAAGTTGATAATAATCAATCACAACTTCCTTTTCAAAGCTTTTTGACAAATAAAATTTTAAAACTTATAGTTATATCCATTACAATATCCTTAACAATATATCGTACAGAAATACCTAACTTTGTACATATGCAACAATTACAACTGATAAACAAGTTTTGTGATGTATAAATATATTTTACATACACTAATCAAATTTAATAAAATATTTTCCTACTCAAGAATCTTTTGAATAGTGATTTTGAAGCCCAGTATAAAAAGTTGTTCAAACTATATGAAAGATCAAGAACAAAAATCATTGTTAACGAATCATACCAAGAGTCATCTACTCTTGATTACACTTGAGTTCTTATCACATCTGTTAGCACTTACAGTTGATTAAACCTAACAGAACTGTACAAACATTTGATGCCTTTCAGACTAGTTGATAAACGAATACTGAGGTTGAAAAACAACTCAACAAAATCTTAAAACTCAAGCCTTCAAACAGCAAATCAATAGTAAAAAATAGTCGATCCCTTCACCACCACTGGAAGGGTGCTTGAAATAATGTCTTGATTTTCTATAGGTTTCTAATGAAGTAAGGTTAAAGCAGATTTTTGTTTTCTTTATTAAATCACTTTAGTTATATCTGTTGTTCGTCCACCTTTTTATTGACTAAATAAAGACCAAAATGTGTTATTCCCATTAATTTATCTGTTTTTATAAGATTGTATATTTTTAAAACCTGGCAGTGTTTAAAACCGTAGTGTGAACTTGTCACTGCTAACACATTTCTTCACTTGCTCCTCCATTCACATTTCACAACAAAATTATCACAGCCGCTAATGGTGATGTCCTTGAGTTAGGATCACAGGAAGAATCGTTCCCACTATAAGAGCAAACAGCTGATTGGGTTTGAAGGTCCCGTCTACGCGTGACGTCAGCTCGGGTAGGACGTGAACAGTCGCGACATACAAGAACGTCCCAGCACTGAAGAGCATTGCAATGCCCGTCGCATTCACCGAGTGCAGCGTTTCCTTACCTTCCTGTAAAATTAAGGTTATGTAAGTTGGGATTAGGGTTTAACTCTCTTTTTTAAGCATCATTTAACTATTAACTGTCATGCTTGTATATTTGTAGCTATTTTTAGCAAGCTGACAAATTATCCTGGTAAAATAATTCAAGAATAAACATTTGCATTAACTTATTTTACAATAAAATATGATAGAGGGGGAAAAAATTTCCCCTTCACGAAGCTAAATCCAATTATTGATCCGCACTTACCTGACCGATGCCAAAGTATGTGACGAGCGCTAGAAGTGGAGCCGCCAACGAGAAGACCAGCAAATGTCGACGGATCCGCTTGCGATCGATACCTTCGTGCATCAGGAAAGTGACCAGCCCGAAAGCAGCTGGTGCCTTGAAAAATTTGTTATGTTTTTAAATTTCTCTAGTATATATTAATGCAAGAGGTAATAAATCATGACCTCGAAACAAATTTAATAACAAATTAAAACATTTCAGTCATTAGCTGCAAACCTCAATTATCTACATTTATAAACAGTCTACCTTGTGAAGCATGATGGCGATAAAGACGATCATCTCAACATCGGTCTGCGTAGTAGTCGCCGCTGCGCCGAGAGCTACACCGTCCACCGCTGCGTGCACCACTAGACCAACTGTTGCCGTCACACTAGCCCGGTGTCCGTGACCCAGCGGTCCTGCGCCACTACCACCCACCTCGACGTCTACAAAGATACACTTGTAATTTACTGGTCTAATGTGAATGAGGATTAACTTTTTAGTAAAAAAAAATAAACATATAAATCTCATGGATGGAAAATAATTCCTAGAAATGAGTTGAGATTCTATCGTATGGTCAGATTAAATGAAAACAATAAAAAAATAATAGAGCAAAAGTTCTTTTACTCCTTTTCACCTAGTCTCTTCAAAGAATAATATCCATCAACATGAAGTCAAGTCTGTATTCATAGTATGATTGGCACATCATTCAAATTTTTTTAGAAGAATAAGAATCCTCTAATGTCATTAGACACGAGAAGTTGCAAAGCTAAAACTAAAAAAATAACAGGAATCTTGGGGTCGTGAATATTTTCAGTTAAACTGTATGTAGGCCTATCACAGAACAAATAAAACTTGACATATATCACAGTGGGCTTTAGCCACCTAAATTTTTACAAGGTATCACCACCTTCTACCAAGTTTCGAGCTTTAAAGCTTGACAGCTCTGGAATTAGAAACAAATGGCCCCAAAAGTAAGACACGTTTTCTACCCTTACGAATTATCAATTCTCACTGAATGTTCAATATTAGAACAGTGTGTCAACTTCACTAGGGCCACCTAATCCATATCAAATATCCACAGACAATAGTCATTACTAACTCAATAACACATAGTAAAGAATACTAACCTCTGGAGTAGGCAGAAGAACATTGGTCGATAAGTAGCATCAGTATGAACCCAGCCACCAGGGAGAGACCTATCAGAGTGTGTAGATCGGCAATCTCCGTAGCCTCGGACATAGTGACCCCTTCTCCTGGTGCTGTGTGGGCTGGGGAAATAACACATAGATAATTAGAGCGCTACGGAACATACAATGTAGGCCTACTTTGTTTCACAGTGAATAATCCAAACCATACTATCAACGGTTTCACTTTAGAGAAGTGACTACATCTCTCTATAACAAAACAGTTACACAAGCGAGAATTGAATACAATATTGTGGTTTTCGAGACTGTGTTCTTACAGAATATTGTTTACCTTCAAGACAATCATGTAGTTAAGGGTGACCATGGACGCCCAACTACAAAGCAAGAATTTTGGAATCTACATCCAATGTTAATGATATGACAACACAGTATTGATTGTACTGTTGTTTTTACAACCATAAATATTTTAAAATTTCATTGTTTTGTTTAAAATGTGGTGTATGAAACGCAGGGCGGATTTCCCAAGAAAATGTTTTGTAAAGTCAAACATCTAATTATTTACGAACTAATAGCCTACAGTTATTACTTGGGCTGTATTTATTGTTATGATTGCTGCGATATTGTTATGAGTTATGTGTTATGTTAATATTATTTAACTGTTAATAGACGAGGGTTGTTTGTAAATTAAGATCTCCATCAAGCTACCGTCACAATTATGTAACCTAGGTTAACGTTGTGATTCTTTCTTCATCCACTACTGTTTTATCGGTTTCCACACCTCTGGCAAAATTAGTTTTGACTCAGTATTTGGAAACGTACTAAAAGAAAATTGAGAAGTATGAATAGCTTGATGGGTTTATTATAGAAACATCCCCCATTAGATCGACAATCTCTCTTTTGGTACTGTGTTCTGCAGGCAAAATTTCCTTAACTTTAACCTCTGCTTTAAACCTCCAAATTCCATTCCACTCCTTGCACACATTTACTCACTCCAAACGCAATTCTTCATCCACGTCCGTTAACTGGCGATAGACTTCAATAGAGGTTGACTAGCGAGATCACAGAAATAAAATTTAAGTTTATGGTTTATGCTTGACAGGTGTGTAAATTTTATTCACAACGTTCACAAATAGTAGACAAAACTAATTGTCCACAGGGGTGTGGACCAACTAGAATAGTACCAACTAGAATAGTAGTGGATTAAATAGTAGTGGATTAAATAAGGAATACAGCATTGGTGTCATATTCTAGCTTGGATGCGACGGGAGTTGATAGAGACTATAATTATACTATAAACAAGACAACCCTCCCATTACCCACAACATTGCAATATTGTCTGATTAAAAGAAAATTAAATGAGAGTTTACAATTAGTTAAGGCCTAAATCATAAAGTTAGGATAAAGTTAGGTTCAGGTATTCAGCAATGGCTATGTCATTTATCACTAGCCTATATATTTTAAACATCAGGATCATAAATCATTGATAATATTAGTTGGAAATAAAGTTATTATTAGTTTCTATGGGTAAAACTCATATTTAACAAAGTATTTTTCATTTTTCGTCATTAAGGCATCTTTTAAATACAACAATAACATTAATTACCATGTGATGCTTGACCAGAAGTGAAAAGAGAACGAATGCCTTCTGGTATGATAACAGCCAAAGCGGTGCCAACAAGAAGGCCAGCTCCAAAAACAGAAATCAGGTGTAGCTTTGCCTGGGAGGAAAAACAAATTATGGTTACAACAAAATATTTTAGAGCAAAAGAAACAACTCGTAGGATCATGTCAGAAAGTAGAAGGATTGTTATGATTATCATAACCACGGGTCACACTTGGTTGGCATCAGTGACGAATTAAAAGAAGCTACTACTATTAGCTTAATGTGATCACAACATTTGCAGCTGGCACCACCAGTCTGCGAGTATTTGTCAGCGGCTTGCGAAGTCGGACATGCTGACAGTTGATAATTCAACTTTTGGTAGCAAGGTAGCGGCGACTAGAAATCACATGATCACTCACACTCGCTGGTGCTAGCCAGCAGCATAGTGTGACCACCTCTAGAAGCATGCCGGCGGCTACCAAAGCAGCACATGGTTTCTTGTGAACTTCTTTAGCCTAGGGTTCCCTTTTAAAAGGTAAAAAAACGCCTCTGGCGTAGAAATCACACAAAAGAGATCGATACCTAAGTATGATGACTTGCTAAATAGTGAAAGAGAAACTCCCAATCTAGAATAACTAACTTGTAGAAGGCTAACTATCTCTGTCATTAAGCTGAGGCAGAAAGCAGGCAAAAAGCTTTAAATTAACTTAAGTTTAGAGAAAAATTGATTCTTGATGCTTTTTGCCCTCAAAATATTGATGATTTTGTGATGAAGCTATCGAGTGTGCATCGATGTTTGATATCGATGTTACGATCAGCGGTGAACATCTATGATTCTCATTCCCTATCGATATCGATGGTGATATATAGATGCTCATCCCTATTTACTGATTTAGGCCTAGGCCTACTTATGGTTCGCCAGCTTTAAACTTATTGTTAAGAAATAAGGAAGAATCGTATCTGTAATTTATATTCATACACAAAATTAATTTGGATCTAGAATACTTAGTTTTTAATTTATATGTTAAAATTGAGATAAAATGTAAATATAACCTTACCTCAGAGAGTGTCATAACCAAAGGAATAGATCCTGCGAAATAGCTTCCAGCTAACATGACGAAAGCAAGTAATACCAAAAATGGTGTTTCATCCATGATGATAAAAAACTTAAAAAGGTATGCTTAAAGTAACTAAAATCTAGCTAATTAAACCAATATTACGTGTACATCATTAACAACAGACAACAGTGGTCGTGGACGCAGCCATTTTTACGCACCATCGCTCAACTTTTGACATTTCTAAACATAGAGTATCGTACATCGAAAGTCATTTCTTTGGTATATGTATTAAACATATATCTACATTAAATTTGTACATCTTACAAAATAGCTTTTGTATATCATAAATGAAATAAAATGAAAATACCATAAGACCAATTAACGCTATCTGGATTGATAATATACTCAAAATATTTCTGTACACAAATAGATACCTAAAGCTGTAAAAAGTACACTTACCACCTGAGAGGTGAGAGACCTAAATATAAATTAATTGATTTCAATTTAGAAAAATGTCAGTACTTCCGTACGAACCGGGCACGGGCACCCCTATTGGTGCTACTACCGTTCTAAACATTGGTACCCCTATATTGCCATAGGTGGTACTACCTGACGATACGGCTACTTTTCGTTCGTGGCATCTGGGGCAGTGGTGAGCAAAGCAATTTGATGTGACCGTCTAGCTAGGGAGCTCTTCTCTTCCTTTGGGAGATCAATCTCATGGGACAACCCATGCAACTGTCGGTGCTGTCGGTAAGGTTGTGGGCGATTCAGACTTTCTGTAATAGTATATTTCCTAAGACCTGGTTACGGAGGGTAGTTATTACAAACCTTTAAGCTCAAGAATTAAGGCAATCAAAGGTCGAATATCTTTGAACAAGTTGGAAGGATGGATAAATATAGGCAGTATGATCAAAATTATCCTCAACTAGTAAGTACTATTATTTATTACCTATCATTGGCAGGTTTTTTTATTATTTTAATCATCACTATCTGTAGAAATGTCCACCGTGTATTCTCTTGTAGTAAATCGTCTATGCCGTTGGGAAGTATATAATAATAATTAAAAAATACTGAATGCACATCGTTGACGTCACCATGACCTATGCATGTCCCTTTCCCTTATCGTAAAATTATTCCAGGTACTGTGCGTGGTTGGTTGGTGTGTTGTCGCACTCTGGTTCGTATATTTTTTCTGTCGTGTGTTGTGTCAGTGTGTGTGTTGTTTTGAGTTTTGATTTGCCGACGCCTCTGAAGCCGAACCGTAATCAATAAAATGGCCTCCAAGCAGTCAAGTTTATGTGTTTTCAATTTGGTTTTGTTCAGTGTTTTTTATTTAGCAAATTGTGAGGGAGAGACGCTAGTCCTTCTTGATAATTTAGCAATCAAGGAAACGCACTCCATATTCTTCAAGTCTCTAAAGGGTAAACGCATTTCGCTTTTAGGTTAGGTATATCTTGGGTCTAGCTAGACTTAAGCCGGCCAATTTGTCATAAAATTTCAATGATGTATTAAATTTAGGCAGTGGTTTCAACTGGACTCAGTTGCATGCTAATGTAGAGAAGGCATCTGCCCGCCCAAATATATTGCTTAGTATTTTCAGGGAAGGAAACTATTATTTTAGGTCGGTGCCCTCTAAGTTGCTATTTATGATATTTCTCATCCCAAAAAAAATTGGATACAGTTCCGCAGAGAACCTCTTGATATATTATTCGATTTAAATACCGGATATTATCAATTTTAATACGGATAAATATACAGGGTGTCCCAAAATAAGTTAGTCCCCCCTTGGTTGATTTTTGAATGGCTGCATGGCCTATTTAACGAGTTTTGATACACGTTACTAGGGTAATGTTAAGTACTTTTTGGGGGTATTTTGAAATTTACCCCCACCACCTAATACGGGCTGCTGGGGATAGGTCTAACTCACAATTTTTAAATAGCAACCACTAGGCTATCAAGTTAGCACATCAAAAAGTTAAACTTAAAGGCCATTAGTTTGTAAGAATATCAGTGAAAACCAGAGGTCTCTATCTCAACCCATTACAGAATGGTGTCCATTTTTATTTTTCATCAGCCTGAGAAAGCCCATGTAAAAATATACACCAATATCCCTATTAGCATATTTATGGGTTGTAGGTGTACCAGGGAAACTAACTTAGACTCATTATGATTGTAGCCTAACAAGAACTTTTTGATCAGTTAATTTTGCCTGTGACCTCAAAATGAGGTACGGTATTTTGAGGGCAGCTCAAATTTGTTCAATATAAAGCCCCATCAAGTGACACCTCATTTTGAAGGTCTTCAGTTTAAAAGAATCTCAGCAAAAACCTGTATTGTGTAGTAACTTATGGCCTAGAGTTTAGGCCTTGCTTTTTTGTTTTTAAAATATTTAGACTTCTAGGCTATAGCTTTAATTTTATCTTTGATTTCAGATCGTGGTTACACTTTGACATTCAAATCTGCCGATGACGCAAATCTTGTACTGTCAAAATATGGAGAGTATTTGTACGACAATTTGATAATCTTCGCTCCCTCAGTTGAAGAGTTCGGAGGATCAGTCAGTGTTGAGGCCATCGCCGACTTCATTGATGGAGGAGGTAGGCCTAATTTCAGTTTGACAAATTGACAAATTTTTTGATAATGGTTATGCCACAATTTATTGATCAAATATCTGTCACGGATAAAACTTTGTGAAGAATGTTACCTAATTCTTTTGTAAATCTAGTTTTAAGCTGTTTTTTTATTCAATTTGACCATTTCACCTGTTTACAGCTATGCTGGTTCAATTGTAAACATTTATGTGAAAATAAATCATTGACTTGATGTGACTTTTATTTACTTAACTATATATAAAAAAATGTGTCCATGTGCATTTAGCTTAACAAAATCCCCTTTACAGGAAATCTGCTGGTTGCTGGTAACTCACTTTCTGGTGATATTTTGAGAGAATTGGCGTCCGAGTGTGGCTTTGAAATAGACGAGGAAGGCTCATCAGTCATCGATCATCTGAATTATGACATCAATGATGACGGAAAGGTTAGTTATTTTATATATTAGGCCTACTTAATGAACCTCTAAACAAATATTATAGCCACTGATAAGAGAACGCAACCTTATAGTCGATAAAATGTCTGATAAGTTATATGATTGTTACAGCACACACTGATCGTAGCGGAGCCGAAGAACTTGATAGACGCACCAGTGATCGTAGGTTCCCGTGACATCCCCCCGTTGCTGTACAAGGGTACAGGTCTGATCACGGACCAACGTAACCCTTTAGTCCTTCAACTGTTGACTGCGGACAGTACTGCATACTCTTATCCTGTGGACAAACCTATCAAACAGGTACTTATAATCTTAGACATTTTACAAAACCACAAATAATGAGAATTAACAGTGATGTTGATTGAGATATGTAATCTATACTTATTTAATACGCAAGCAAGTTTTTTGTGACAATTACTCCTCCGAAACTACTGAACCGATTGACATGACTTTGGTGTCGTTGGAAAGAGCGTAACGTGAAGTTGTGCAGGAAACTTTCTTTTTAGCTAAATAATTAGAGAATGAGGCCCTGGGGCCCTTTAAAGTTTCATATTTCTCCATAAGATTAACATGGGAAACAAACATTGTTATGAAACTCCAGCTGTTGTCTGAAATGCTGTTCTGCTATTTAATTTAATTTGTTTACAAGGAGAATTGTTTCTTGGTGCCATGTGGTTAATGAATTATACTTTAGCATATATATTTTAAATGCTATACACTATATAAAATGATAGTATTGTAATACATTGAGAGATCTTCATTTGAATAATCAATAAGCACGATTGAGCCTTTGCCTATATGTTTCCTGGTAAGTGTGTTATAACTGTTTCTTATAGTATATTATAGTATCTCAAAGTAAAACCGAATTATTCTTTTCTGTATTCTCACCCCGTAGCGAAGCACGGGTAGAGCAACTAGTAATATGTAAAAGTAGCCAACATTCAAGGACATTGTTTGTAAATTGTTTTATTGATGTAATTTTAGGTTTCCCCTTAAAAGCCATAACAGGCCTTTTCTTATGTATTAGGTACCAATATTGGGTTTCAGGATTCTAGATTGCTAGTAACATAAAATGAAAATTCCCAAAGTTTGTGAGAGGTTTATGACTAAGAATGAGTACAATCTTTACAAGTCATACTCAAGTCAAATTTGACCGAAGACACAGGTGGAATTTTGAATAAAGACATACAAACACTTTGAAGCAAAAGAGTTCCAATTTTGATGAATATGAAGAGAATTGAACCCGTTTCTCTCGCAGAAGTCAAGAGACGCTAACCACTAGGCTATCAATACAATCTTGAGTGTTAATGTTATTCATATCCTTCAATATTACAATATTAAAGCTAACATTTATCATTCCTGTCTCTGTTGCATGCAGTACCCTCATGCCGTTGGAAAGGACACACTCCTCATTGCTGCTCTTCAGGCTCGTAACAACGCCAGAGTCGTTTTCTCAGGTTCTCTCTACTTCTTTTCAGATGAAGCTTTCACATCTCCAGTACAGAAGGCACAGGTAAGCTTTCAATCTTAAGTTATCAAAGATTATCTATTACTTAGCAATACAGAACATTACATCAGTTAGTTTAGTATTCAAAATATTTAACAAGATACATTTTTTATTCTGTTTTGGTTATTATCAAGTCTTTATGTTAACTAAGTCTCTGCATCTTTTCCTATTCCTCTTCGGTTACTCTTCTTACACCATCACACTTCTCCACTGCCTTCTTCACCTTATTTGTCCTTTTAATTCTTCCTTTCGTTTTCCTTCCCACTCAGTTAGTTTTCTTGAAATTATAACTTCTCTCACTCTTTTGACGTCCAAAGCATCTGTGCCTTGCCTTCCATCCATCTTACGCCCCCCAATAACCTCTTTTGTGATCTAGGCCTATATATACGTAACTCTATTGTATCTTGTTAACTACCGTATCCTATTAATAGCTTTGGAAAATCTTTTTCCTTGGAAACTCTTCATTTCATACTCCCCCCTGTAACTATTAACCTATACGTCTTACACCCATGGATATTTTTGCTTTTATCAGTATCTCCCCATGCTACAACCAGCTGTTTACTATATTATTTAATTGGTTGTTTGCTAGTGATGTCTGTTTGTTCAGGGCGGTGGTAAAGCCTGGGAAGTATCTGGTAACAGACAAGTGGCGGAAGCTCTCAGCCGTTGGTTATTGAAGGAGAACGGAGTTTTGAGAGTCAAGTCCGTAGCACATCGGCCCGTCGGAGAAAAGACTCCTCCCCCTGCCTACACCATACTGGACGATGTGGTGAGATCTACTGTCTTATGAACTCCAGCTAATGTTTGTTTAAGATTAGTCAATCCCATGATTTTTTTTTAATCAATGAAAGAAAAACTACATAGTTATTTTGTAATTCTCTTTAATTTTTTAGCACAAGTTTTCAAAAAAGATATTTTTACTTTCTAATGGGATAGAGTCCCAGCTTGATTACCTGAGAAAGTTAGAGACAGATCTTAATTAGATAAACAAAATTTTGTCAAAATATAACACTTACATTTTTTTCCTTAAAAGCTATATTTGGGACCTGTTATTGCCTATCTATTTAATTTTTCCATGGACTCTAATTTTCTCATGTAAGCTAGCTAAACTCTATCTCTTCCCTATAAAAATACTGATTGGCTGTTAGGCTTTGCGTTTGAATACAAATATTTTGTGACATTTGAATGGTTTGAGTCTTATTTAAGATTTCATTAAAAAACTCAAATGATCCTGACCTTTCACTAAATTGTAGATAATGAATTCCATCAACTACCACCAACCAAGGAGTTCAAATGAATGAAAGATTCAAATTAATTATAGGTTTGAAATTCCATCTTTAGTTGTCAGATTAAGTTTTGTTGTATACAATCTAATCACTATCCATTTCCTTTCTTATCACAGTTTGTGATACTGGATAAACTTTATCCAGTTACTTTGTTCTAAACATAGTTTTTCTATAGTTACATTGTTATTACTAGGTTTCTTTTTGTACGTTTCTAATTACTTTCATAATCTGCTAGCATTTATGAGATCATTAATCTAATCTGTACCACTTCCCACTCCCAGTTTGTGGTAGGCTACTGGATAGTATTTATTAAGTAACTTTGTTCCAAATATAATTTTTAATATTGTACATTTAGTTATATGGTAAACATTAAGTTTAGTTGTATCAAGGAATCCATCCCTCTGATCTTAGCGCTATTATTGTGTAAACTATGTTGGTGTTAGAACCTAGGTTTTCTGCTCCCTTGCTTACTAGGGATGAGCATCGATAATCAATCTTTATAAAACATCGATGTTATTCGTGTTGTATTAGTTAAATGTACTGAATTGGAATTGTATTAGTTTCAGTGAATATTTCAATGATGGTCTGAACAAGAATTTTTGTATTCATTCCATTGAAAGTGTGGTGGGAAATCAAATCCAAAACTATTAAAAAACTAAACTAGACTTAGGCAAGCGTAGGGTGAAAGAGAAATGTGCAAGTGCTTTTCCTAAATGATGCCAAAAATCAAATCTTTTGTAATAAATTTCAATAGCAGAATTTGTACTCCTGCATAATCAATTAAGACTGATATTCTTGTAATGTTATAGAGAAACTGTCCATCTAGAATTTATAGCTAGTAGTTGGGTTAATTAGTTGAGGTAAAAAGCAGACGAAATTGATGTTTTCGCAACAATGTTATCCATACATTGATGGGTGACCTACTTTATTCCTAGTGAGTACGATACGTCTCAAAATTATTCAGCATTTGCTATCCAACCACTGAAAATTTGTCAGTTTCAACTAGGCCCTATTTACATTAGGCTATAGCTATTCCAAGTAGGGCCTACCAGTATTATCAACATTACCAATATAATTCCAGAAGCTTTAGGCACAATTTTATCCAAAATATGAATGAGGGATGAGCGTGAAATGCCTTGTTTACCTTTGTTACTAACTAAGACAAGTTAGTGATGTTTTGTGGGCTTCACTCATTTTAATTTTTTCCTGGTGACTCCTGAAGAGTCTTCAGATTCAATGAAAACTCACTCACATACACACAATCGTCCTAGAAAATCAAGTTAAATCTTCCAAGTTCTTTTTTTAGCCAGGGACATTTATTAAAATCCTGATGACTTTACGCCAGCATGGCCCAGTTTCAAACCAAAGTCACCGACCTTCTCGCAGGATTGAACTGGCAAGCACTGTAACCACTCAGTTATCCAGCATCTGTCGTCTGCAGGTATTCTCCCTGGAGCTGGAGAAGAAGCAAGGAAAGGTGTGGGTGCCTCACGATGCCAACGACGTCCAGCTGGAGTTTGTCCGCATTGACCCGTTTGTCCGCACTACGATGGTCCGCAAGGCTCCTGGCAAGTACGAGGCTGTGTTCAAGATCCCGGACGTCTACGGAGTGTATCAGTTCAAGATCAACTACCACCGCATCGGTTACACCTCGTTGTATAGCTCGACTCAGGTGCGTTTAAATTGTATTTGATTTTCATGGGTCCATTTAAAATTAAGGTAGGCCTAGTTATCCTCACCAACCATTTTCTCCATTCTTTTCTATTTGCTGCATTTTCTGTTGCCCCTAGATGATGATTCTCATTCTTCTATCCCCATACTTTGTGCTCTAAATAGAAAACTCCTTCCCAGCAAGGATAGGTTAACCAATATACTACTGGAGCTATCAACTGATCGGAGTGAACACAGATGTAAACAAATAATCTTAAATCTTAGTTCTAAATGATTGCGTCATGACAAACTTTTAACAATCTATATCATATCATACTCCCTACAATACTATACATACTATAGGCCTACAATACTTCATCATATTATGAGAACCTAATTCATTTTAAACCAGCCGTTCAAAGCAATCTTCTTGTGTCTTTCTTTATCCTTGATTTGATTTGAACAAGCTCTGGACTCTCTGTAAAAAATGTCTAAGAGGAAATCAATTTCTAAATACTTCAATCTACAGGATGTTCAACTATTCTCTTTGTGTAAAGAAGTGTCTCTAGTTATTTCATATAGATGGGATGTTTGCTTCAGTTTCCAACAGTCAATGCTTATATTATGTATTTAAAAAAAAATGCTGTTGACTTGTGTGTTCAGGTCTCTGTGCGTCCTCTGGAACACACTCAGTACGAGAGGTTCATTGCCAGTGCGTACCCGTACTACGCTAGTGCGTTCTCTATGATGGGTGGAGTGTTCTTGTTTAGCATCGTCTTCCTTCACTACAGAGAAGACACTAAGACAAAGAGCGAGTGAAGACTGACTCTTACCAAGATTGTTTGATGTGGTTATTGTGTACGGTAGTTAAATAAAGACATTTTTTGTATTGAGGTTGTGTTTTTTGTATTTTAGGGTTGTATACCACGAATAATGAAAAATATATAACACTTTCTTTAAATAAAAAGGATTTTTAGGGAGGATAACAATTTTATCTGATTAGAAATTAATCCCAACACGCAACATTACAATATTTTATTGTCGCTAACAGTATTTTCCTCCTTAATACTCTATTTTGTTTATAGTGTTCAAGTTTTGGATTGGTTGTGCCAGTTTAGACTTTACCATTTAGGTAAGCCCGCTATGCTCACTAAAAGTCCTAAAACCCTAGGCCTTTGTGCTCTATGTTACATCCTTATACAAGGTCGACATTAGGGTTTGGATCATTCCCATACAAAATAATTACAGTGCATTTATTTCCCTGCAGTGCCACCAGTATCAGTGCTATCTACGCCAGGGTTATGTGAAACATATCTGTTGTGGGTTAAGCCTCTCAAAGTAAATAATGGGTGTGCGACAAAAAAATGGGTAGAACACATATTTCTCCAGCACTTGCTCGTTGATCCTTGTTGCTGACGTTTTACGTTAACGAACAACCTTAACCACAATATAAACTTGTGGAAGAGACACCCAAAAAATATGTTAATCAAAATTTCTCCCAAAATGCCATAGGCCTCTTATTTGAAATTGTTTAAGAAAATTCTTTATGCGAGGACTTAGAATGAAGGGATAGCAGCTAGCTATCCTTAGTATAATAAACACGGATATCAGTAGGGTCTTTGTTATTGTAGGTTGTGATTCCTTCCACCTTTGGTGTTAACTTTTTCAAGCATATTTTTCCTCCTTCCATAACCTATAAGGACTAATACTGATGAAGAACTCCAAAAATTATGTGTTTATTCGTGTTTTGTAAGCAAGGTAAGCCTAATTATTACACAATTCAAAAACCCTTTACAAAATTGGCATAACCTTAAAAAAGTTTAGATAGGCCTCAAAAAAAAAAACCATAGTAACTATTACTCTTGGATACAAACCTTTTGTGCAGGCTGACAAAGTCCTACAGAAGACAAAATTAAAACAGCGCTTTGTGCCTTCCATGTGTATGGACTACATACCTAAACCTTTTCTGTGAGCCAGCTAAAAGCAGCTATACCTTAATTCTCTATTCTAAAATCACACCTCTTCCAAATAGGGGTGTATTTGTATACGAATACGTCTATTTTTTAGTTGTTTGACCTATGGAATGAATAAAAATATAGGATTGAGGTTGGGTTCACATTGCATCGGGTTGGTACGGTCAAGGAAAAGTCAGGGAATCATGAAAAAAATCTGGAATTTCTCCTGAAAGACTACCTTTTTACAAATATGCTAGATTTTTATCTAAACATGTTTTTGTCAGGGTGATGACTAATGTCAAGAAGATCGACGACATAAGCACTGATGCACATTTTTATTCTATAGTTATCGGTACAGGGGAGGTATCGATTTGTATATAGTTTGAAACAAGTTTAGTATTTGGGAGTGATTAAATAAGTTAAATATTTACACTTTTTCTAATATTTCTTGATTTTGAATAGTCGATATCGACTTGCAAAAAGTAGCTTGGAAGTAGTTAGTATTTGGAAAGTAGCTTAAGTACTTGGAAAAAATATAATTTCTGTCTGGAAAAGTCAGGGGATTTTATTTTCCAAATTCAGCACCAACCCTGATCAAGTTAAGAAAGTGTGGGAAGGTTAGGGTTAGGAAGAAAACAAGTCAATCATTTTGAAGTATATATTTAGGCCTACGAATTTAGCCATATTGAAGTGCTCTATGTAACAATCTGTTGAACTATCATCAATTCAAACACGTTTCATACAGTGGCTAAGTTTTGTGTCAAGAATACCGGTACTGAGAGTAAGTACAACATAAACTAAATATTTTTCTAACTATAGATTATTTGTACACATAATAAATAGTCACATTTCTTATTACTGCATTACTCCCTATTAGCTATGTAAAGATTTTATACTGGAATCTAAATCTTTTGGAATCTACTTGTCATACAACACCGTCAATATTTTTAAGGAGATGAAGCTTTTTTCTATAACGATTTTAAACTAAATTCAGAAGTATGATTACTGTCGGGGTAAAAGTTTAGACACTTGAGTTTGGAGCTCTACAGAAAAGTAACCAAACTAACTTAGAAAAACACCTTGTATATATAAATTTTCGTTGTTTCATTCTACGTATTCCTGTGAAAACAAAATTTTTTTAGCTCATTTAGAATGAAACAACGAAAATTTATATATAATACGTGTTTTTCTAAGTTAGTTTGGTTACTTTTCTGTAGAGCTCCAAACTCGAGTGTCTAAACTTTTTTCCCCGACAGTAGGCCTATATTTAAGAGCTCCTCAACTCATGTTAGATTGAATTTGTACTGGTTTTTAGCTTTACACAATATTCGGATCATTGTACATGCTAGACAGTAGAACTTATATGATAACATAAACACTAGGCCTAAATATAATATTTTATAGGTACTCTGTTCAATTTATAGACAAAACTAATAACACAAAAATGTAGAGAATAATCTTTATAAAATACAAATAATATTTTGTTTAGAGACAAATAAGTAACCTAGAATGCTGTACCCAATCATTTACGTAGCTTCTTTTGAATATAAAAAATATATTTTTCATCTCTTGACTTGTAAACAAACACAACAAATTTAATCTTTTTTTAAACTTAGGAGTTCACCTTATCTACAAAAAGTGCACAGTAATACAAAATATAATAACAATAATATAGTTTTTAACTATGATCATATGAGATTTCATTTTATGTACAAAACGTTCAACATTATGTAAAACAATAAGGGTAAAACACAGACAGCTAATCGTAAAAAATAAGCGCCATGCAATGCTGTGTGTATTTTTAAACCCTAAAACAAGGAACAATATATTTCTCTTGAAGTTATTAACATGTAACAGGAGTATAAAATTATATATTATAGTATTATAACCGGAATAACATAGCAATGAATAAAAAACTTCCTCATTTCAAACACCATAATAGCAAAATTAATATGCATATAAGCTAAAAAGAACAATTGATTCCCGCAAATAAACTAAATATTAAAAGTATGATATTCCTTAAGCTTTTTTAAGTTGAAAAATACATATATTGCATTCAGGTATTCTAAATTACATCATATTTAGTGTGCCAGCTTGTAAATTTAATTTTTGTACACCAATATCTACGTAAGTAAAGATTTAAGTCATATTTTGAATGATTGATAAAAACTTGAACAACAAATAACAAAGCATTGATTACTTTAAGCATAGTTTATTCACTCTTAAACATCAGGGATAATCCAAACGGAAAAAATACACAGTTAAAATTTTACTCCACACATTAAGTAGGCCTACAAAACAAAAGATAAATCTTTCTACCTTAGTAAATATGAAATCAGTAATTTAATTCCTAAGTATTAGTAAAATAATCCCTATTGCTACAACATGGAATGATGAAATTCAAGTGCAAAATCCAAAAAGAGATCACGATAAAATTTGGTAAAATAAAATTTAATGGAAAACAAAATTGTATGGTTTCAAAAAATCCTATAAGGCTTTTCACATTACACACATGATTTTGGGTCAGGAAAGGTTACGTTTCCATTGATTTTGAAATTATTAACCCTACTACTAACCCATGATACTATCAATGCACGGAACTTAAGACAATACTCATATCATTAATTTCATATCAGGAAAAAATCAAAAAGTATTTCCTCTAGTGAATAAAATAATATTTTATATAAAAAATAAAAATACTTAAATCTTGATTACACCTTGTAAAATCTTTAGACCAATCACCAACATGCGCTTAAAAACCAAACAGACGTTATAAAAAGAAGCCTAATTAAAACTAAAGTAGTAACTCTTCAAAATATCTATGGATTACAGTTATAAAAAATCAACAAAACATGACAAAGCTTTTAATATGATAGTAAGTAGATATCTAGAAATCCTCATCATACACGATTTCTAATATGCTACATACACTTAATGCGATTCTCCACTATGTAATGATAAACTTTTAACATTTCAATACATATTATACAACAAGATAGCGCCAACATATCTACAATATGGGGCTGGTAGGCTAAATGAGGTTTAGAACTGTACCCAACTGGGGTTGCTTGGTGTAACTGGAGCCCTGGAAAAACACAAAGTGATTAATTCAAAATGATTTTTCTACAAATACATATTTTTACTTTCTCTCCCTATACATAGTAGGCTATATGGATAAAGTATTGATTGAGTTTTGGATGGAAATATCCGTTTTGGGTCCCCCCTGAACCCAAAAAAGTTGACCTGGAAGTTTTCATCAAGAGTAAGTCTGTATTGTGTGGATGTGTACAGAGAGCTACAGACCGGTATGGTCCGATTTTAATAAAATTTGGTAATGTGATTTTTAATGATTTTCCCATAAAATAACAAACAGATTTTATGTAAATCTAAAAAATATCAGATGATAAACAGATTGAATGATTTTAATAAAAATGTTGTATGTTACAGCCCTTTTGACTCGTTAAAACATTGTATAACCCCCATTACTGAAAACATTATGGTTCAATAGTTATTACAACTTTTGTGATTTTCCCAACAAAAAATCCTAGTTACTCCCACCGCTTATCCATGATAAGGGTCGTTGACAAGCTAACAGGTGAAAGTACGATTGTTGACTAATGCATAATGTGTTATCTTGAACAAAAGGATATGCAGACTTGTAAAATCTAACAATACTTACGCTGATGTTGAATTGCCAGCGCTGGCGAATTCGCCCCAAGACTCAGGTTTGGCCGAGGCAGGTTGGTGACAGGGGGAAGAGTTGACGGAGGGTGCGGGAGGTGGAGCAATCTTAACCCCTCCTGGGGGAGGCGGCAATATACCAGCTGATGTCGGCCGTGTCTTTGGTTTGCTGGATACTTCACTCCCGTCCTTTTTCTAAACAAACATACAGTAAAGTGGTTATTAAAACAGGGATATAACTAGTAGGGTTTTTATTATGCCAGACTTCTATTCAAACTGTTAAGGATTATGACTAGAAAAAATTTACTAAAATGTACTTTTCTGGGAAATCTTTCGAAGAGGGTTTCAGCTGGCGTAGGCCTACTTGAGAAAATTAGAGTCCAGGGCTAACAAGTACACAAATAAAAGAGCGCTGATATTTGGTCTTAACAAATACCATTTTCAGAGAATGGATTTTATCAACCCCTGGATTTTTCCAATAGCCTAGTACTATAAAAGGTGACCCTATATTATGAAAAGGTGAGCCTATATATTGAACCTATATGTTGAAGGTGAGCCTTCCCACATTGGACATTTTACGACTAAACCACTGCATGTTTAAGGTATATTTTCTGTACATTTTACTCAAGTATATACAACCACCTTCATCACGCCATACCATGATAGCCTCTTTTCATACTATAACGGAAGTACTGGGATATTTGTCTAATAGATTGAAATTTTCAAATTGCAGAAAAAAGTTAGCACTACTCAACGGTCATCACCTAGCCTACAAGATATCAACCATTACTCTCCATGCCCATTGACAAAATCTATTGTAATTTGTGTAAACTACTGAATGATGAATACATTGCTAAATTGTCTCATAAGAAAACAATAGGCCTAATGTCTAGCTCTGCAATAACTGCATCTTCTGAAGCAGTAATCATCCATCCAAAATTCATAAAGCTATAAATCACCTTTGCTCTTAGAAATTTGAGGCCAAATAACGTTCCTTAAAGGTGTGTTCATTAGAAATTAGATCTAATAGACTGAGCTAAAAATATCAATAACTCACAGTAATCTTCATATTGATTTTTATCGTCTCTCCTTCCTTAAAACGCAAATCTAATTCAGGTTTTGGCGTTTCTTTTTCTTTCTCAATTTCTTCCTCTTTCTTGACCCATTTAAAGTGATCTTGAAGGGCAACATTCAGGTCAAAACTGTCAGATCTGTCAGAAAATCCAACCCCAATAAATGCAGTTCGGCCTGAAAATAAACATTTGAGAATCTCTGATTAAAAAAACAACAAGTTCTCCTGAAATCGATAAGCATATGATCTATTTTTGACATTCAACTAAGTTAAGTTATTAGGACTTTGTGAGATGAAGATGCTAAAAACTAACCACTAGGTATGCTAACTTAGGCCTACATGCGTCCGGCAGTGACAACACCAGGTTGTGGGGGCCCGGAACACTATTAACACAACGATACGGTGGAATGCCGTCGGTGTTTGTGGTGTAAGTTAGTGGATAGTGTTCGGTTCGAAAACTTCATTCGATTTCTTCATTATAAGCAAATTTGGTTACCGTACTTAGGTTATGACAGTAACTGGCGGACGCCTAATCCACGTCTGGTAACCGGACGCGTATCCTCTGCCTAAGTTAATACAATACTCAGCCTAGGCCCTGCCTTAGTTCCTACTTGATGGAAAACATGTTTTTAAAATATGCTAGGTAGAATGGGAAATTAAAAAACCAAGTAGGCAATAAAAAGAATTGGAAAGAACCATTACATTTTTAGGCTAGCTTAATAGAGGAAACATTTTCTGATAGCCTAATTCTTGTTTATAAAATCCAAAAATGAATGAAGGAACGCACCATTATTGTCATCCACAATGCGAAGAACGAAGTAGCGCGATGAGTCTGATACTGCTTCAACTGCAAGGCCTGGATACTTGTCTATTGGGCACTTTGCAAATAACTCTCCAGAAGTCTTATCTTCCAGTTTCAATATGCAATCTGTGCCTTTTGTTACCAAACGCATTCTTCCTGTCCACTGAGGCTCAGCTAAATTCCAATCAGCAGCTCTGTACGCTCTGTTGGTGGCCCTGGGTGGGAGTTTAAAAACAAAAACTTCATTTTTTACTAAGAGAACACTTTCGTATGCATCCATTCTTCAACGAATGTTTATAATATTAAATAAATCTGAAATGGGCAAATGGCAAGTCCAGGCAATCTCAATTGAAATTTGACATCGACTGTCGACTCACTCTGCTGACTGATCAACTCACTGACAAATGACAGTGACAAGAACAAGACAACTCAACTGACAAGCTGACGCTGGCTGGCTGGCAAAATGACATTGGCAGCTGCACACAGACCACATAGCAGCACAGCTGATAACAAGATTTCGTTGCAGAGAGGTGTAAAGAAAGTGCTTTATATAAACATGTATAAAATAAATATTGATTTTTGATCGTAGATTGACTAATTCTTCAAAGAGCCTACTAATTCTTCAAAGAGCCTACTAATCCACGAGAGAGTATTTTGATGACAAATGGTAGAGTGCACATCATCTCCGTAGTCACCCGCCAAGTTTATTTTTTTTTTTTTATTAATGAAACTTTAAAAAATGTTCCCTTGAAAGATAAAAGTTTTAATTTGTTGTTGTAAATAATTGATATTTATATTTAGAAATTGACGCAGTTTATCCAGCTATGCTGGTCATTACGCAGCTTTGGTAATGACTTTGGATATTGCAGGCAGTTCTTGCATTCAATAAATAATTGCGAAATCTAATACACATATGAATGTGAATTTCAAAATTTGAAAACTGATTTAATTAGTTTCGGTTCCATTTCAGTGCGTTGATGTGAAATAAGTGTTTCACCATGGTTTCACCCTGTTTTAGAGAACTTTTTATGACGGATAAAACATACATATTTCTACATTGGATTTTTTATATAATGTTTTATTATTATGTATTAAAAAATATATCGTAACCTTACCAATACATTTTGTTGTTTTAATGCGATTAAAATTTAAGTAATTTAATTGATATGAATCTGTAGCGTCAATTCTTTTGTTAGAATTGAATCGTGTAATTAATAAAAATGTGTCGTATAAAAATTACACACTCGCATTCTTCAATCTTCCACATGATTTTTTTTTTTAGATAGAGAAAGCCAAAATAAAAAACGTCATACATAATATACTTATTTTCTCCTCCCTCCCTGTGCCTGGGAGCTAAAGCTAAATAGGTGTGTAAGAATGTGAGTGAGAGTGAATAAATCACTTCACTTAAATTTCATGTGGCATTTTTGAAACATATGAGTGTCAGATAGAAAGTTTTGTTTACTTTTGGAATTTGTACGAGTACGAGTTCATTTCTCGTGGTGGGCTAAATTTGAAACTCAGTCTTGTGATTTAATCGTTTGTAGGCCTACAAACGTAAGTTATTTGCCAGTTCTTGAATTTAAGTAGTTGCAAATTATTATTTGTTTAGTAACTTGGTTCTAAACTTATTTTCAATCTTTTGTAAGCTAAGTTAGGGCCTGCCTACTTAAATGACCCTGTCTTGGTCTATTATTTATTGTTGCTAGGCCTAGTTGAGATGTTAGGCCTAGGTATACCTTTTACCAAATCCTACATTATAGAAGTAAAGGTCTAATAATAATATTATAGGCTACTAAAATACAGCAATGATCAAGTAGCCTAACATAGCAACGTAGGTGGTCATTTCAAAATATTTAGGCTAGATTATTCCTAGGCTTTCTAATTGTTTTTAATTTACTTAGTGGTTAACTACATCCTAGTTGAGATTCTTTGTGATGCTTATTTACTATGCCTAACTCACTGCAAACATTCTAAAATTACATTTAGGCTAAACTATTAGGTACTTTTCTCAGCACTCGTCATCAAAAGCCTATGGTAAGTTAAGCCATAATCAGGTATAAGTTAACTCGTTTACTTGTTGGCCTAATTGTGTTTGCGGACTCACAGACATGTATAAATGTGTTTTTGGCCTATAGGGACACCAAAATTGAAAAATAAATCCCTTCTGGGCCTAGGTCTTACTGTGCTAACTTACCTAAGGTATATGATAATTAGTTTCTTCTTTAGCTAGGCCTACAGGAAAAATTTGCTACCGGTAATGATACTGTGGGGACTATATTTTTGGACCTTTTAAAATAAATTATGTTGAAAGCTAAACTTTTTTAATGGCTCTAGATCTAACTGTGAAGTGTCAAGAAATTATCTATGACGAAGAAAAAAGAGAGAGAGTTAAAGTCGTGTTTACACCTGAGCTAGGAACACATTCCTAAAAACCAAGAAACACAACTTTTTTAACAGAAACATTTTGTGTCCCACAGGAAGTTGGTAAAGATCAAAGGGTTGGAATAAATGTTTCTGTACTTCAACGCTGTTTACAACACTTCCTCGCTACCCCCCGCGCCTACTGGCCACCACGTGACTACACCCCGTGCCCCCCCCCCCAACGAGGACTAACCTGACCTGTTCTCGGGAACGGTGATTAAATTGTTTCCCAAAGATCAAAGAAAAGTACTGTCTGTTGTAAACTTTTCTTTTAGAAACGAGAGTTTCGACAAAAAGTTTCAAACAGTTTGTTCAAAACTCCAGTGTAAACACGGCTAACAGAAACATCTATAGACTAAAAGAAAAAAGTATTAGTATACACACCCATATATATTGAGTGTGTATAAGTAGGCCTATGTATAAAGCATATTAATTTAAGTTATAAGTTAAAAAGGTTAACCTAAAATATAGGTTAATTTGTCCATTAGGTATATAATTTTCACGTCAATACGTAAATCAATTATTACACAAACATTGAGTTAGGCGACTCAATGTTTGTACACTTAAGTTATTTGATAAATTATTACGTTCTGATTAAATTAGATTAAATAATATTCTTTTGATTAAAAAAGGTACAGTATATAGTAACTTGAAATAATCAATTATTGAAATGTGTTATTGATGTTATAGTTTTATGAAATGTGTAAACCATCTAAGCTTTGTTGTTTTCAACAGGTGAGGACTGTTTTTAGATATATTATGGAACAGAAATCGATCAACCATGCATGAGCTATTTACTCAAGTTCTAAGCAAGAAAGATCTGTCTAAGGTAGGTAGGCATTATTTAGTCTAAGGTTTAAGGTTTAAATTGTCAAGAATTTTAAGACGAATAATCTGTTAAATCCTATTTAAATTAGGTTTACCTTATTGTTTTTATGAGATAAAGAAACTACTTATATACTTATCTGTTCCAGAGTTGTAGAAAGGGATGATAATGGTTTGATGACTATCCTGTTGTAAAATTATGTTGTAAATTAGATTGTTTTTATGTATAATTTTTTTTTCCAGTTACGTTTGAGTGTGCTTAATAAATTACATTACAGGCTGGAGATCTGTTTTCCTTGGCTGACCAATCTATAGTCAATGATTTGACGGAGGTAATCAATGCCATCGCTGAGATAACCAGTCTTCCAGACTACGTCAACAACAACAACGATCAGAGCGTCGTGGAGATCTGTATTACAAAGGCTACTTCAGCCATCAGGTGGGTGTATGTCCGTCGAATATAAATAGTTCGGCGAATCCTTACAGTATTTGAGAAAAAGGTTTCTATTAAATTTCTTAACGGTAAGAGTTAAAAACAATATACCAGAGTCTCGGCAATCTAAATCCCACTGGTCCGAAAATCCTCCTAAACCTTACCACCTGGGGCTAGGGTAAAAAGGCTAATAGGTTTATTTGTAAACTAAGCTATGTTCTGAAATAATAACCAGGGTGACCAGGCAATTGAGAAAACTGGGAATTGTAAGTTAATTTTGAACAGAATAATTTGTCTTTATTATTATCATCAATTGAGATGGGGACGCCGCTTAGGTGTGTATTTTAACCCATGAATTATAAGAATGAGTGTAGAATATAGCGAGATGATCTGTGTAGCTCTGTTACTAACTAAGATCAGCATATGGCCGAGGATCAGCTTTCTGTTAATTTGAACAATTTAGTAATCCATACAGCGTCTGGTCCCGACCAGTGATCACTAGCAGGACTCTGGTGAAAAGCTTAACTAATCGTACTAGAATTATATAGGGCAAAAAAAAAAACACTCCATCACAAAATTTTTACTAGGTAGTAGGCTAATTCAAACAGTGTTTCACTTGACATTACTGTGTATATTCATTAGGCCTACTTAAATCTTGACAAAATTTGTTTTTGAAAAAAGTTAGTGATCAGTTGTATTGTACCTACGGTACTACAGTATAATACAGTAGAGTCCCGTTAGTCCGAAATGGTTGGGACCGGGCCCATTTCGGATTACCGAATATTTCGGATTAAACGTTTTTTTTTATTTTGAAAAAACTTTTTTTTTAATTTTTTTTGTCTTAAAAAAAAGACCCAAGCAGGCACGAGCTCGGGATTGTTTTTCACATTACTTAAGGCTAGACCTAGTGGCTGCAGTATTATCATTTACAGTAATAAAATCCATTTGTGATTTGGCGGACGAATATGAAAATTGTTACAGTAATAACAAAAATGGTGAAATACTAAAATACTCTACAAAAAAGTCTATCTCGCCCGGCCGCTACAGAATACGTTGACAAGGTACAGCTAACTGTGTTAAAAGTTTAATAAAAAAAACTTAAAAAAAACTCAAAAAATTTCAAAAAATTTTAATTTTTTTTAATAAAAAAAAATTTTAAAAATATATTTTATTTGGTATCGGATTAAGCGGACTTTCGGATTACCGAAGTTCGGATTATCGGGACTCCACTGTAATTTAATTGGATTTATTAATTACTTAATGTAATTTATTTCTCTAGGGAGACAGGCTCCATTGAGCAACATGCGGATGCTTTGGTAGCTTTGTTAGAGTCATGCCTGAACTACAATTTGAAGCCATCAGCCAAAGACGAAGATCCACCTCATGCAAAAATCTCATCGGACATCATATCATGTATATTTTTAGTAAGTTCATTTTGCATTTCTTAAGTGTGGAGTAAATGATAAATTAAACTGAAACACATTTTAAAGCTGCATATTATCTATTAAGGTACTTAACGTATAACACAAGGTTTTAAAATAGGTAGAATTGCACACTTAATCGGGTGGGCTACTTTATAGGTTCACCCAAAATTTTACTTTGAACACCTATCCCAGAAATTATACTCAAGACTTTCTTAAAAAAACAAATTAGGCTATTCACAAGATTTAAACGAAAATAAAAATATTAATTTTGAAAAACAAAAGTAGCTAGGAGCTTGGAGATATTGAATCATTTCTTTTGATACAAACCCCAACTTGGAAAACACCTTATAGTTCTACTTAGCGCACCTCACCAATTTTACCGAGATCAAATACTCTGACGTAGGTAGCCTACTTACAGTAACAGCGTTTTGTAGGTCAGAACAACCAATCAGTGTTTAACAACATTGCTCAATATAGCAAAACACTTTCTTTTTACAATATAAACAAAGGCTTTTAACCTTTCTCAATTTTTACAAAGGTAGAGTTACTTGGGCATAAATGGCCATGGGAGTAAGTAAGATTTACAAAGTTTCCAGAACATTCAGTACACATTCAGTATATTTGCTGGTAAAAATGTGTTTTGCAGCATTGACACTTCTTTTAAGAAAGTCAGAAGTCGAGCCTTGTATTCATTGTCACCAAGCTTGAATAGACAAATCAAAGTAAATATGTATGTCAAAGTGTAAACAGTTGTTCTTCAACCACATAAAATTTTACATAACTTTGAATGTTAACAGAACTACAACAAGAAAGAGGTGATGAAGAGGGCATTGCCAGTCGCAGTCAAGTTCTTGCACAAAGGCAACCGTGAGTTGTCCCGCAACATGGCTCCTTACCTTTCACTGGCAGCCATTGACAATGCTGACCTTCTGTCCAAACACATTCAGCTGATCATCGACTCCATCATATCAGGTCAGTTGGACATCCCAACTATATGGATTAGCGTAGAAAGTAGAAAGACTTGGCGTAGCCAATTTTGTATGAAAATAGAACAATTAAAATAATTTAATACTTTCTTATTAAATGGCGACCATACAAAGTAGGTATTTTAAGCCAAGTATGAATGGAAATGAATGTATGAGTGGCGCGATCTTGTAGTCTTGTTAGTGACTAAGGCAGACATTCCTTAGACACAGCAGCTGTTAATTAATAGCCCATACAGCTAATGGCAACTAAGGGACCTACAGTTTATAGTGGAATCCGAACCGAGTTGGTCTAATTATCAGGATAGTACTGCGGATAGTTGTAGTACTCACTTGTGCGAACGTTAATCCACACCAGAGAGTATCGCATCCACAGTGCATGCCTATAATTAAATATCCACAATTCGTGACCTCCTAGTAGCTGGATTACGGAACGACGCCAAAAAGGTATAAGTTACCTGCTATTGCCTTGTGGTCCAAAAAAGTCTTGTCCTTAATATATTATGCACGTAAATGGATGATTTTGGCGTGAACGCTTTGTCCAGGATCACCACAAACACAAAAATGAAGTAAAATAGAACAGCTGAATGAGTCCCCCAAGCAGTGTGTCATGTCAAGGTTCTATTTTCTCCCTTTGTTGTTTACTGTAATTGAAGTGACATAAAATATGCTTTTTTTTAGTGGGTTGTCCTTTCAATTTTGCAGGGTCTTAAATTTTGCGTACTCAACAGATATCAGTAATTTATCAGGAAACTGTGGGTGGCTTAATCAAACTATGTTTTTTTACTAGCAAAAGATTTTAGATGGGATGAGATGTACTTTACTAGTCAAAGGTTGTGGTCATGTAATGATGACCTCATGTAATGAATGTCATGTAGCTGATAAATATAGGGTATTTACTCAGGGGAGGTATAGAAGAGGCTACGATGACAGCTGTGGGCTTCTTTTTAGCTGAGGGAACGCCTTTACCGTAACAAAACGGTCGATTGCCATCGGCCTCGGTGGTCTAATGGTTAGCGTGCCGGGCTGATATACTGTAGGTCCCGGGTTCGAATCCCGCTGGTAACGTTAAACTTTTTGTCCAAGATTTTTTTATTATCAGCAAGTTTGGTTGGTTTGGTTCGGTTATTATAGTTTAATTTTATTATTAAGTCATTATAAAATTTTATTTGAGCAATTTCTAGTTTTATTTAATAAACAGAATTATTTTTTCTATTACTAAACTTTTGTTATATTATTTAATTATCAGCAAGTTTGGTTAGGTTATGATAGTTTAATTTTATAATTAAAAAATAATAAAATTGAATTTGAGGCATTTATAATTTTACTTTATGAACAGAACTATTTTTGCGATTAGTTAACCTTCATTGCCAAAGTGCTCTCTACTACAGCGCTGTTCACGGAGGAATTTTGAACTAATGCCTCATTCGTACCTCCCCTAAGTCAGACCCTAAATATAGACAGAGCCATTCTGCAAAAGGTTGTTCAATATGCTCCTGACATGCTGTTGTAATAGTTTCTGGTTTGTAACTGTTATCATTCCTTTCATTTGCTCATGACATTTTCCTCACATTGTTGCTGATACTGGTTGCAGGTAACTACCCACTATGCCGTGTGTTGCCTCAGATCTACGCTGTTGCCAAGGAGCCTATCCACGATCACGCGATGGCTCTTGTCTCACTCTTGCCGCAGTGTGATCTCTCTGATAAGTTGGCGCTTCTGCAACTCTTTGCGCACATAGCGGACAACAAGCCTTCGGTGAGTAAACCCCACAGTGTCCCTTTAGGTTTTGATTCCTCTATACCACTGAAGTTGAAAATTTTTATTTGATTTGTTAGTTTAATATAAATTAAAGTACAAGGTCTGCACATTTCAAAATTATGTTTCATAGCTTGATAAAGTTGAATCGAGTCTTATCTCAATGTCTGTCACATCTTAGGCAATGATTTTTTCTTAGATTAGGGCCTACTTTAGGTAAAGCTAGAGCATCAATCAAGGTTAAACATTTTCCCTTCATTCAATAAATTTTTGAAAATGCCTTTGGCTAAACCTTGGCCTAACTTATTTGCAAATAGCCCTTTAACTTAGAGTTGTCCATACCCTTTGAATTTCAAGCTGAACCGAGCCTAGCCTAAAAGCTGGAGTGATTGAGCACCAAGTGAGAAAATCAATCTTGATCCAAGCTTTTCTATCAAGACCGCAGAATTTGTCTATCAATATGAAGAACTCATCTTAAAAAAGAATGAAAAAATAATGCTTTTGGCATCGATTCAGAATTGATGGCGGTTTTGGGGGAAAATTCACTTTCAGTAGTCAAGACTTACGGCAGACTATGATGATGTCCACACAACTGTAGGAGATGTTCAGAATTTTACCACATTCACAGAAAACAATCATGATCTTTGTGTTAACACGAGAGATGTCCAGGGTAAAGCAACTCGTCTTTAATATAGCAGCCTAAGTTGATGCTGTGTTGTTGTATTCAATTTTTCAAAATTTCCAAACATATCGTCCGACAAAGGGGTGTAAGCTACATATTATATGGACTTACGCTCTTCATCTTGCAAGTGACGATATATAGTCTATCCTAAACAACATGTATAGTTTATTTTAACAAAGTTTATACATTCTGATCATGTTATCAGCTGCTAGAGGCTTCTCTACCTCAGCTGTGCGAATACCTGAGTCCGAGCACTACAGTGACAGCCACTCTAACAGTTCTACTACACCTGGCTAACAAGAGGGCACAGATGTTGGTGGACTACGTACCCAAGGTGAAGCAGGCGGCCGAGTGTCACACCAACGCTCTGTGTCTAGCCGCTCAAGTAATCTCGGCCGTCGGGAAACTTAGCAAGGTAAGCGCCAGTGTGAGCTCATATAACTTTGCTCAAGATGTTTTGTAAAGGAAAAGTTCTAGGTCGGGATTGTAGTTTTGAGACTAAAGAGATCAGCTAGTTGACCTAGTATGAGTCCAGATAGGCAGTCCACACAGACACAGACACAATATTTTGTCTCTTGAGAGAATTTGTGAAGTAATTTTTAACGATAACCCACTCACACTCTTAGATTAGGTTCGTTAAGCTTGCATATCTTAAATACTTTGTAAAGTTAAATTGCTGGCAGCCATGAAATTATTTGTTAGCAGCTTCCCGCTTCTCAACTAGCTGGAGGCTGGATCCATTTATTCTTATTCTTCAGACTTCCTCAGATAGTAGATTGAGCTATCTTATCTCGATCACTCTACTATACCTATACATAACATTCCATTCATCGTTAGGTGAAAAAAAAAGTATTTGTCATTTTCAAGAACTATTCTTGTTTGTTTATGAGTTTTGGGGATTTCCAGGAAAGAGCGGAGGACGCGTTGAACTTTGTGCTGGAACATCTGTCCAAAGCCGACCGCACGCATCAGAGTATGTTGTTGAAGGAAGCAACGCTATTGTGTTCCAGCTACCCCGTGTTGTTCACTGAGAAAATGCTCGCTCAGGTCTACAAAAACAAGAACACCTCCAGGTAAGTCGAATATGACTTAATGTTTTGGTGTTTCAGGATGTCCCATTTATACATAAAGACCCTAGGCCCTAGTCTGGAACTGTTTAACAAATAACTTCAGGTTAAGCCCAGAGGCTTGTGGCATTATTACTTAAGCCTAGATAAAATCAATACAACTCAAGACTTAGGGAACAGAAGTTCTATCAATAAATCAGCTTGCTCCCCGTTGTTGCCATGGTACAGCTCCTAAAATTTACCATCTTTTAGTAAAATCCTCGACATTTCAGTTTAGTTTGAAAAATATTCCTAAAAATCTATATAAATGTTAAACGTACCTCAGATTTTTCATAACTTTATCCTTTATGGTAAAAAAGGATACTATAGCCCTGATCGAATATGTCACTGAACACGAATTGTTTCGAATATGTCACATATGTTATATCATTCTTCATGTTTAAAAAAATCTAAAAAATATTCAGGATCAAGATTTATTCATTATTTAGAACAACTACTCATAATTTCAACTAATTTAATACAAAGTGGTGGATGCCAACAGTTGGATTAGCCACTTTCGAAGTGAGTTAGTGAGTTAAGAGATTCACTAGCGCAAGCGCTGACTTGCTAGCTTATTATTTGTCAACTAGTATCTTTTAACTGGCCCAGTGTAATTGAGTAAGAAGGCCTACTAATGGAAATCTAATTATTTACAATACATCCGTAGAAGCAATATCTTTCTTTTTCTTTAGGTAAATGATAATCTTTTGGCATTACATACTCTGACATTGTATTGGTTAGTTCTCAGGTGAACCAGACATCTGCAGGAGTGACCATCGTTAAGGTCGGCGGCCAAACTACTAACAATAACAACAACAGTAACACCAACAACAACAACCTCATCAACAACAATGTATTCTCATTGACAATGGTTAAACCCAGCCTTACATCTACAGCACACCACCATCTCAACATGACAAGGTATAATAATCATGTATTGTGTAGTTTTGCTTTAGACATATTTTAATTTTTTCCGTAGATTCACTAACACTCATAATCTGGAGTCTACTGAACTAATATTCATTCTTAGGACTTCTTCAAAGGTGAGTAAAGAGCTATCTTTCGTTATGAGAGATTTTTTCCACTCGTGTGATTTAGAAACACTAAATTCGAACATATGGTGTGTTGCAGAGACTCGGGTGGAAGACAAGAGACCAGCAGGATAGTTATCACTCCCAGACCTAGGCTGGGTCCAGACAGCCGCAGCACCAGTAGGCTACACTCTGCAGCTCACCGCAGCATGACTCGGCTCAACATTGGTATGTCACTACTCTTCCACATCTGACGGCTCTAGCCCCGAACTGTGTATACATTCAGGCTAGTTCTAGTGGGTCGCGGCAGTATTACTTAGATAAATTTCCTTGCTGATTGGCGGGATTTGTTCCCAGGAACTCTGGGATTGAAGTGACACACTCCTCCACTAGAAAAGCTTACTACACCATTATACTGTTAGTAATTTTTTTCTTAGAAACAAAATATGCAGAGCGCCTAAGAGTGTTTTTGAAGCTGTACTCGGGCATCTTTTGAAATTGATAGTACCTTTTCAAGAATAGTTTGGGAGAGGTTTGCCTGTCCTACATCAGTCACCAACCTTTGATTATGTGAACAAGCTAATTTTGCTCTAAAAGTTTAAATAAATGGTATCAGCAAACTGACACATGCTTTATTCCATTGGGCTGGTACAGTTGTACCATTTTGTTTCAAGTTCAAAGGCCCATAACACACTAAATTTTAATAAAAATCTCAATCAAGCTGTTTTAGTAAAAATCTGATCTGGCCGTCTTTTTATGGGTTTTTGTGGAAAAATCACCCTTGAAAATAAAAATTTCAAAATAGTGCACCTAATTTTATCAAAATCGGACCACAGGTGAAGTCTGTAGCTCTCTACACAGCCACATTCCCACACACACAGACATCACTTCAAAAACCACGATTTTGGTTCAGGAGGACCCAAGCGGATATTTCCGTCAAAACACAAACTCGAAAATGTTGACAAAAACAATATTTTTCCACATACTTTGTATAGAAGATGAATGTACAAAATATGTTTTTTGGCTTTTAAAAAATGTTTTAAAATGTGTTTGTTACAGTAAATAACAGCAGGATCGGTCTTCACAAGAGTATGACCAGATTGAGTTCCAGTCAGCAGATCAATCAACCTTCTCATCAGGTTACTACAGGTGTGTAATACGTCAAACTATTTTTGTATTGGCCATGTCAAAAGTAATAAGGCATAAACAAGTGTAATAGCTGGGTTTCTAAATATTTGCAGCAATCGCAGCAAATTAGGTTATCAATTTGTTTAGATAACTCAGCACATTTTTGATGGTTCAGCACAGCTGCCCTTCATTGGGTTTTTAAATAGGATTTGGTTAATGAAACAGCTGATCTTAGATAGTAAAAATACTAAGCTATCGTCTCGATTATTCAACACTAGTTTTTCACTCATATTCACCTTATGTGGACCTACTTTTTAACTTGGGGGTGTCAGCATTGTATAGATGTAGTATTCTCTAATAAATTAGACATCTCCAATAGGTCAGGAGTACATAGCATAATACTAAATAGTTGATTACTTTCATTGTGTAGTAGGTGATCCTGGAATTAAAATCATTAATACGAATTCTTACCTTGAATCCAAGTAAAACTGTTTATAAACACTAGATAGAATCTACTGTGAAAATCTATTCTGTTATTTCCTCTTTGAATGAGTTCTAAAATTTATAGCCTAACTGATTTTCACAACGGTTGATGTAGCTTAAGTTTGTTTAGTCCTAGCACGCTAACCTCTAGCCCTTGATCGTTTTTCATATTACTTTAGGCTAGATCTAAGGGGTTGCAGCATTATCAAAAAGGCAGGATTTGAACCCAGGACCCCAGGGACCGAAGTCCCAAGATACAAGTGTTTACCAAGATATTAATATTGTGTTTCAGTGACTACAATCAACGGAGCAAGGCATTACAGTCTGGCCCCAAACAAAGTGTCTAGCGGAGGTGTCTCGGTTACCACCAAGGCAGCTAGGTAATTCATGGCTCATGTTAATTACCCCTTGTTGGTAGAAGCTTCACGGTGCTTGACATTTGGGTTATGAAACAATCAGCCACTTTTTGGTTGTATTTTCTTGATGATCTCTGGAAAGGTCGAAAAGGCCTTGGATATTTTCTTCCCTGTCGGTTTAGGTCTGTTTTATCAACTATAAGCTTACAAATTCCACTAAGATAGGCCCTAGGCCCACATAGACTTTAAAGCTGATTTGGAAGACTTCACTTGGTAGATTAGTGGTTTGCATATTAAAACATTTTGCCTAATGATTAGAAGACAGCTGATTCGATCCCAGTAAAGGTCAGTAGATTTTTTATGGTTCACATCTGGAAGTAATAAATTGTCCTGCCTAAATGAACAGCTGATCTTAGCAACAATCCACGCTGTACAATTCATCCTAAAGTACATACACAAATTACGTAATCGTCTTCGACAAGTGAATCAGGTATCCTCTGCTTGGACATTTGTATAACGTTCTCTTCTTCTTAAATAAAAAAATTATGATAGATTCACCAAATACTGCTGATACTGTTTACTACCACTATTGTTGTAGTGCTATGATACTTCTGAAAATTAGTCTCAACTGATAGGCCTTCTCGTAAATTATGCAATATAATCACCTAATCGGACCAATTTGTTTCTGTTGTTGCAGCAATAACGTATCAGACTCCACAGTGACGGTTAGTACTGCACCGCCTCTTCATACTACGTCAGGTTTGTATTTTGTTAGGCCTATGTTGCTTGCATAATCACCCAAGTAGATAAACGTTGGCTGTATGAAGTACCTATTTATGTAATAAATGTAGTTGTAAAACTACATTCTCAAAGAAGTGGGTTTCCCTAATGAATGTAATATTGAAATCCCTTTTAGTTATGTGATCTTTCTAATCCCTTACTATAGTCCGTTCAAAAAATTTAGGCGGTTTGAGGTGAAGTTCCCCACTACTTTTTTGCTTAATATAATGTTTAGGCAAACCTCAGCTGTTATTATAGAGGTAGGATCAAGTGGAGGCAATAGATTATTATGATAGATTATAGATGTTATGATATTTTGTCACAGTAACATAATATTCCATAGTCCAAGTATCACTATTCCCAAATTTTGTCGACCTTAAATTTTTGGCTTGGTAAGCTAATCCTGAATGTACATTTTTCCCTAACCCAAAGGAAAAAGGAAAGGAAATGGAAACTTAACTTTACCTGTAGCAGTCAAAAAACTTTGTCCTGAGGGAATTCACAAGGAAAACGTTATATCCATGGTACGATTGTTTCAGTGAGTACGACCCACACGCATCCGCACAGCTCCAGTAGTTCACCTTTGTCTCAATCTGTAGTGTCTACTCTCCCCTCCACCAACGCTCTGCACTCCTTAGTAGGTGAGGTTTCATTGTTAACGCTTACTTGTCGAAACTTATACAATGTACAGCCCTATAATTGTATCAGTTAAACAAATTTTTGTTTTACACTTAATAACAACTGATATTTGTTTGTTTGACAGCTTCTACGACAGGAGCCGTGTCAGTAACACAAACTCTACCTGTGACGGTGATGAGTCATGTGGTCTGTCCGAGGAGAACCAACACTAGTGTGACGCTCATCAACCAATCACAACACTCCATCACACAGGTCAGAATAACCATTTAGAGGGTCTGTATGGACGAGCTCTATCCTTGTGGGTTAAATAAACATTGTCAGCAAACTGACATATTTTCTCCCATTAGCTTGACATCAGAATTGTGTGCGGATGTCTACAGGATTATTACCTACACCTGTGATCTGATTTTGATTTAATTTGGTATCTGGGTACTATTCCGAGGTAACTTTTCATTCCCTAATAAGTGGCTCAATTCTAATATGCTCATTTTATTCAATAATTGGTTATGACATTGACATTGAAATGGAATGTCTTATCCATTTTCTCCTGATCGCGGAGACAATGATGATGTCCACATGAAGCGGGAGATGGTTATGATATCTACAATAGTGAAAAATGTTCAGGATTTTGCCCAGTTCGCAAGAGACGATAATGATGTCCACAGGACCACGGGAAATATTTAAGATTTTGCTACAATCGTGGAGAATAGTGTTAACATTTCATTGAATGCGGCTTAAAAAAACCTCAAGGCCGGGTCAACAAATAATCTCAGGGTCCCACACCTCTGATAATTATTAATTATCTGACATAATAACAATATTTAAATGACCTCGTTGACACCGAGGTTGACTTTTGTTGGTTTCTTTTACAGAGAATCAGTGTGTTTGAGCCCTACCCCATGCGAGACACTGTTCAGCATTTCTGTGAGAAACACCTGGACAAGATTAAAGCCTACATGGAGAAAGTATCAGTCAGGATACCACCCCCTGCCAAGTGCACTATTGAAGGTAAACTTCTGCAAGTTTTACTTGTGATTTTATTTATCACCAATGGTTGAAACATAACCTTTGCAAATTCTTGACTTTCCGTTTATTTGTAAAGATCATGTTGAATTTTTGTCAGCTAACATTAAAATGTGACTCAAGTTTTGGAGCTTGGAGTATTAACTAACAGTGGGTGGTAAATTTAAATGCTCACATTTTTTTCAGTCCTTGTAGATGACCAACTTTGGAATTACCACATTTCCAAGGACATGGTTTTTTGATGTTGAAGCACCAGGTTGGAATGTGGCAGTTTCTAATCCTGCATTGTGTTTTGTTGTGTTTTCATATAAACGTGATTTGTTTTCTTGAACAACGCCCAGTACAACAACAGTTTTTGTGTATAACAACACTGTGACCAAACAGGCTGCTTGAGACAATCGCTATTTTCCCATATCTACAGATAAACTTATGAATCCGTGGTTTTTGCATCAACCAATTCGTCAGTTGAAGACTGCTATGAATTCTAATGACACCAGAACATTAGAATTATCGTAGGCAAAAGCCTACAAAGATTACTGATAGGTTGTTAAAATGCTACTACACTTTTACTCCACTCAAGAACAAATTTCCATTGAAATAACTAATTTATTTACAGAGAGACGAGCCAAGAAGCTAGCCAAGCTACATTTCGCCTGTCAGGGTCGTGGAGAGCATTGTCTGTACAGCAGGACTTTCTTCACCATGAGGACACGCAACCCTCGTGTGTGGATACATCTCATGTTCCTCGCACTCCAGGCTCGGTCCCCCTCCGCGCTCAGCTCCAGGGACAGCTCCGTCTCCAGCCTCAAGAACTGCTGGGACATCCTCAAATGTGAGAATAAGACGTTCCTTACGCTTGTCACCTCTGCGTTCCCCTGCGCCAAGGTAGGTTCTTTAGTCTCCTGATCTGTCAGTTTGACAAAAAATTCCATCTTAATATTGGTTTTTATAATCTAAATCGACTGTTTTTATTGTTGTATAATCAAACTGCAAACAGAAAGATGCACAATTGCGTTGTGATGAAAAGTATCTTTCATAACTTGTACCAAAGAGCGTGCACTGGATAATGCAACTTTCATTACTTTTATTATAATATACTATTAAACAATTCATTGTGTTAACCATCTGTCTTTTTCAGGACCAGGAAGCAGTACTGAATGAGCTTAGACACACAGGGTTTTGTGACGTGTTCTCACACATCGTCCGCACCAACGCGGCCGGGGAGTCCACCAATGTCTGGGGCTGCTTTCTCTGCAACCATCCGGAGAGAGCGGTCGGCTTCCTACAGGACTCCCAGCCGGTCATTGAGGGACAGCTCAAGGAGAAAAAGGGACGGTGGAAGATCTTCCGAAGATGGCGGACTCGCTACTTTACTCTCAGCGGTGCTCATCTGTCCTACAAGGGCTCGGTGAGTGGGCTTCTAGGTTAAAGGTTATACTCAAATCCTTGTTCACCGTGCAGTATGGAGTTTCCATAAGCCATGTATTTCAAATGGGAGTTTAAGTGATATTAACTGTCCTAAAAATATCAGGATCTGCTAAAGGTTTCTATCCTTTTTTAATATTTTCCTACACTTTTTATTGCTAAGTTTTGCTATATACCAGAGTCAAAATACAAGTAAATCTCGATAATTATTGCTTTAACAAGGGTCGCTACGGCAGTAGACTCAACCCACATGACGATTAACATAATGTTTCCAGTAAAGTCGATAGCATGGATATCCCCCTTAAGACCTGTACTGCATGGAATGTACTAGACTATTAGGTTAAATGAAATCTTTCAGCCTTATATACTTGCATGGTGTTTTCCATCAGAGAAGATTCTCCGTAGCTGTATAATCCTAACTTGAAGTGGAATGTCTTCTTCACACTAGAATTAGGAGGTCTTACACACACAATACTTAAGTTAAAGTGCTTTCACAGATACTGGGCATTCTCTGACATTCAGAGAGGAGGAGATTAGGCAGTTTTGATTCTCCTTCTAACCATAATTCCACTTGTATTATGTCTAAACTGAACAAGTGATCTTATCTTGTCCAAAGCAAAACCTGTTATCAAGAGGGTTTGTAGAGTAGCATTTACTTAAAGTAGAAACAGTTAAACAGCTAAACTATACTTTGTGGCCAGGATGAAAGTATTTTTCAGGCCAAGAGTAAAGATTTGTGTGTCAGTTTCCTTATTAACATATTTATCTCTGTATTGGCTCACTGTTAAACATCTACTGTGCCCCACAGAAGGACGATAAAGAGGTGACGCCTATCGACGTTCACCAGATCAGGTCTGTCAAAGTGAGTCGAGGAGCTCGCAACATACCCAAGGCCTTCGAGATCTTCACTGGCGACCACTCGCTCATACTCAAGCCGAAGGGCGGCAAGAACGCGGAGGAGTGGGTACAATGTCTGTCTGTTGTGGTGGCGCACTCGCAAGCTAAAGACGTTCCGACTAGAGGCTCGAGTCTGGTGCGAACATCCGTCTGATAAAGGTGGAATGAGTGTTCAGTTGATTCGTAGTAGTGGTGTTTTGTTGTTTCTGGACCAATGTAGGAAACGATCAGGTGAATTGAAAAAGAAACTATATTACTAGGTAAAATTTTTTGTTTGTAGTGTAACGTTTGTTCAAATAACAAAGGCTGTCGGGGATAGGGCCTTCCTGTTGCGAAAGGTTTGTATTCATTAACCGCAGGTAGGCCCTATCCCCAACCGCCTTCAATGTTTGAACAAACTATAGTTTATGATATTAATTGTCTCTCGCTTTGGTTCAGAAGTGGAAAAACCCCATTACTCTTAGTGTTGGTCATTGTGAACAAAGAGAATCCCTTTGTAGTCCCTCCATTTGCCTTGGTTGACATAGGTACGATGTTTATGAAATTAAATCAATCCAATAAGTATTAGCGTTAGGTACCAGACACAAACACTATTCGTTCCCTTGAAATGACACATTGTATTGTGTTAAGTCTTTTGATATAGGCTAAGAATTATAGTGGTTCAATATTATGAATAATTGGGTTGTAAAATCTTATTTATTAAACGTATAACATTTTAGGACTGAGTATGGCACATCTAGAATTTGGTGTTAATTGACAAGTCAATAGATAAATTGTTAGTATTATACATATTACCTTACTTAATATTCAAACCAAACTAAAATAAATTTATGGAATGTTTTATTATTGATTTAACAGTAAATTACGACTTTTGTTGTTTGTGCCTTATCCATGTGTGTTGCTATTCCATGTGACATTTTTTTAGATTGTTAACTAATTATTGTTACCTGTTTTTTTCTGATGTGTGACGTATGAAAAATTGTTATTGTATTAGTGCATTTTGTACAACCCCAGGCTGCTAAAATATTTATATTCAATGGAGAAAAAATACCAAGACTGGTGTAAATCAAGCCTTACGTATTTAAAATTAACTGTTGTTGTACATAAACATTAAATATTTATACACCAATAGTATCTTTGTTTCTATTACGGTACAGTTAGAATATCCCTGCTGCAGCAAACCTACAGACTAAACAAAGTTTGATTTGCCTGATTGGATTTTCACTTAAATATTACCTTAAACGTGTCAGATTTATTCGCTGTTTGGATGATATTAATTTTAACGTGTTCTTAGGTTTTATACTACAGAGAAGGTAATGTAGTGTTTTTCACAAAATTTTAATACAAATTTTCACCCCATAAAAACCTGTTCCCATAGTTCGATTATGCTGGTTTGCGAACTTGTTTAAATAAATGCATGTTTGCACCTTTGTACCAAATTTAATGAAAATCTCATAATTTTTCTCATATTTGTACAAATTTAAACAGATTGTGTCTTTGGCCTCTGAGCACATCAAAACAAAAATAAATCCATCCCTGGTCTAGGTCTTACCATGAGACTTGTGGTAATAGGTAGCTTATTCCCTATATGGGAAATTCGGTAAAAATCAAGCCTTAATTCAGTAAGTTTATTTACAAGGCTGAAAACCAAAAGAATACAGTGTTACCAAAAGAAACATTTACATTCCAGGATTCCAGAAAGGGTTTTTATTAAGTCTTGTCAATTTATATCAATATAGTGCTTCCACAATAATAGCCAATTGCAAAGTCATTAACTTAAATTTATAATTATGGTAGTACGTAAAATTTGTATTGCTACTAACAAATACTTGACAAATGAAGGCCTGTAAAAAATGTGATAATCTTTAGTAGACGTAGGTAATTTTTTGAAGTGAATAGACATTTTTTATAGTAATTGAATTGATGTACGTGTGTGATATTTTTGTTTCATAAAGTGGAAGCTAAACAAGCTTTGAGGTAGTGTTAAAAAGTTAACAGAGATTTTCTAACATCAGGAGTCATGGAAAGGAAATATTTAAAGTTTTTACTCTACCTCATGTATTGTATTATAATTATATAGGTACTTGTAATTTTTATACAATAACCAGGGTTTTCTATATGTATTAGTACCGTAATATCTAAAAAACAAAATTAATAGTTTTTTTGTAGATATAAATACTTTCTATACAATAAATTAATAGTTTAAATTTAGCGATGCTTTTTCATAAGCAAAGAACAGAGGTTTTATTCTCATGAATAGTAAATATGACAAGCATTTTTGTTTACTTCCAAAGAGTGTTAGACCAAAGTATCTTATTTCATTATTTCACATTGCTTTCCCATCATAATGTTCTTTCTTCAATCAATACCATTCAAAAAATGATCCATCATCATCTTGATTTATAAACAGATACATGGTCAGTTTTATCTGTTTATTTCAATTGTAAATATTTGTGATATGTAAAGATTATATTAGAATTTAGCGATTTTGTAGTGTTAAATTTAATTATCTAGTACTTTTAGAAGGAATACAGTTCCGTAGTTATTTTTGTATGACGAACGTTTGAAAATATATCATAAATAACTTTCATACAATCATAAAATTTAAAATGTTGATTTTTATTTTGAAACTTTGTAATTTAAAGTTTTTTAAACACTATTGAAATTCGGTTTTCAAACAAATTTCACTGTCAGACGTCACACTCCATTATGAAATGGCATCCTTAGCTAGGGTGTAGTTGGGATTGGTTTTTCAATTTACTTTAGGATAGACCTAGGGGTCGCGGCATTATCACTTGATAAAACCCATTGGTGATTGGCGGGATTTGAACCCGGAACCTCAGGGACCGAAACCTGTCTTCTACCACTAGACCAGCTCGTTCCTCTTTGCCAGGTACTGGAATGCTGATGATAGAAAAACTTTTGTATTAGCTCCCAGGGCAGCTCGTATTTCTGCATTGCAGCTTACCAATAATATCACTCCCTCCCTACCTTAAATGGACTAGTAGATTTAGTCTCACCCTAGGTGTTGAGGATGCCACTAGAGTAAAAAATCTGGCAGTGAATTTTATCTAGAAATTCTGTTGATACAAAAAAACAACGTAACATCAGCCGTAAAAGCCTATGTATGGAGATTAAATACCATGTAATCAGTACTTCTGGTACCTACTAACCTTATTTAGTGCTTTCTTCTCATTTACCATATTACATATCATTACGATTAACGTAGTTTGTACTCATATTAATCCATGGGGTGAATATGGTGATATTGCATACTTAACACTATTGATTATAATTATGGTTGTAGTACATATTAAATTAATTTACTCATACACTTTTAAACATTTACTTGCGCTCAATTATGTACTATGTGTATTTTGTAAATATTTTTTTCTTAAGTTTTATACGTTGTGTTGGTAAATTTAAATTGTGTATGTCCTTCTTTCTGTTTTTGTTTGAAGATTTTATTTTTTGCAGCTATTAGTACAAAGTATTATATTTAGGATTTTTTTGTAAGGATAGCAGGCTTACCTTAAAGGAAAATAGTCCAAATTGGCACAATAAACACGAAACTTTACTCTACAGCCTATACACAAAACTTGAAAATTTCACTGTCGCTGAAATCATTTTCCAACTAAGTAAGAGAGAGTTTTTTTTTAGGTTTAATAATGGCCAGGGAGTTTAAACAGTATTGCCAACTGAAACTATGTTTTTAATGTGTACATATTGGCAATACTGTTCGAAGAACTCCCTGGCCACCATTAGACCTAAAAAAACTCTCTTTTCTTTAGTTAAAAAACGCTCTCAGTGACAGTGAAATATTCTAAGTTTTGTGTTTCTTGGACCAGTTTGGACTCTTTCCCATTCAGATAAGCCTGCTACCTATCAAAAGAATCCTAAAAACCTAGGCCCTTGTGCTCTATGTTGCATCCTTAAAGTATTATATTTAGTTAGGCTATCACTCCAAAAAAGAGTGATTTGAATGTAAAAAATAAGTAGGGTTTCTCATAACAACTATTATTTATATATCTAAATTTCTGATATCCAAAAATTTAATTACATATAATATTTCCCAAATAGCATATTAGTTGTCAAACCCTTTGAGATTTTTGATCTTGGAATAATAGTATATTTCATAGCAAGAGTAGAATGTGAATCATCGTTAATTGAGAAATCTCGCCCTTTAAAGATGATCAAGAAAGAATATGTAATGACCCACTAACACTCGTGTTTAGAACATTACTTTTCGCTACACTACAAAAACTACTGTAATAATTTTCAATTAAAACAAGACATTGGGATAATTCTTTATTAAAATTAGGGACTTTTAAAAACTTAATAGCATTTTTTTAGTTTAGGCCTTTTATTTAAATTGACATTGATTGTACAGTTTTGGTTGTTGCAAATTGAAACAGTTGATGTAACAATAACGTTTGTTTGTTATGTAGGAAAAAAATGGTAAACATTACTTTTGCATAACATTCTTTTTACGTATGAAAGAATGTAATGATGAATTTTTACAGGTGATAAACATATGACGAAAACAGGGAATTAAACCGTAGTGTAGCGAAAAATTGTGAAATCAGGCAACCTTAAGTAAATAAATGCATATCTTCGATAGATTTAGTTTATTTACAAATCATACGTAGATAACTATTTTTTGTTCTCAAGCGTGGTTTTACAATAGAATCTATTTTTGAATATTTGTAACTGTCTTGGATTGTTGTGAATGTGTTAACTCATCTTAGTAGATTACCCTAAATACAAATATCATCTAAGTACTATTTGGATAGTTGTTTTGGATTGTTTCTTTCCTTTTGTGATTGAATTTAAGATTTCAAAATCGTTATACAATAGCCTTGTTATACAATTTAGGCTTATAATATTACTGTCTAATAAATATATATTTTTATACAACATGTCTATTAGATTCATTTTCACACTTATCAACTCTTTCATTATTTCATCACTTTATTGTCTCTTTACTGGGCTTGTTTAAGCTTTTAATTTTTGAGAAATAGTTTGTAGTAATTTTTATCACAAAAATGATAAAACAGATAGTCTCCAGATATAGTTTTGTAATTCCAAACTTGAGAAAGTGTACTGTTGGTAAGTGATTTTGAAACGTTTATTACACAACAATAGGTGTCAAAACATACATATTTAATTCTACTTAATTTTTTTCCAAGCTCTAATTCAAACTTTGCAGCTTAAAATCAAATTTATAATATTTTGTCAAAGTTGTTCTGTTTTTCAGTGAGTTTGTAAAACTATTGTCGGTAAATAATTAACCTGATGATGAATGATTAATTAAATAGAAAAGTTGAAAAACTAAAATAGCCAAAACTGATTTATAACTTTAAATATGTATTAGTCAACAAAAAATTACTTATACTAAAAATATTTACATACATTTTTATAAAACACAAATGGCTTAAGTGTATCAGTTAGTTTTCTTCTGCTCAGGTTTGCTAGGAAACACCAAAAACAGACTCAGTTCAAACAAACACACGAGAAACCCAAAACCTGTCTGAATCTGAAACAAAATGAAGAAAAATGCTGATTAGAGTAGAATATCGAGAAGTGAATCCATGAATTTAAATACCATATGCTCAAAATGCATACTCATGATTTCAAATTTGAGCTAATATAAGTAAAATAAACAAATAGAAGTTACACAAACAATTTTTTACCTGAATAAACGGTTTGTTGATGGCTGTTCCGTAAAGTGTCCACAAAAATGTCACCAGCGCTGCTGCCACAAGGATTGGAAAGGGCAGATCCTTGGTGTCCTTAGTTTTGAACACGTGTTTCTGAAACATTTTGGAAAAGTGAAAAAATGTTTGGTAAAAATCTGTACTACTGGAAAAATTAGGTGTAATTCTTATATTATTGTATTATTAAATAGTTCATGTATTTGTTCCTTACATACTAAAAATGTCTGAAACAGCTGTTATATTTACAATGTTATTGTTATAAAACATATGTTATTGTTTCCAATGTTTATATTCCAGTTATGTTATGAGAAATTCGTAAGGTGCAAAAGTTAAGCTTGTATAATTAACTATCTGCAAATCTAACGCTTCAAAGAACAACTATCCTCTCTTTATGTTATCTTCCCTTGATTGCTAAGAACAGGTAAAAATGTACTTGTGTGTAGAACATTATAATTTATTGCGAGTTAAATTAAAATTCTAAATTTATTGTCTAATTAATATAATAAGTTAAAAATCCCAACTATTAGCATAGCAGATACTTGCTACCTAAAGCTAAGGAAATTTCTAAATTAATTTAGCACTTATCCCTCCAGTACACGCTCCACGGACTCAGAGTCCGCACATTTGAAAAAGCGTGCCGAAATAAGGATATCCGTGAGCGAATTCCCTTCACTACCTTTCCAAGGACAATGGCGGTGTTTTGACCATCTTAGCGTCAGTTGGCCCTGAGCTACGAGGGTGTAAAGTTAGGCGTGTCATGTTTCAAGAGGATGAAGAACAGGCCAGCAATTGACTGATTGGTTTTCAACAGGACATTTTCAATTTGAAATATTTGTAATTATCTTGAAATTTATCTGTATCTATTTACCTATATTTGGGTATTTGAAATTTTGATGCTATATGAACTTTATTAGGTATATAAAAGAGCGTTTCCAGTAAGAAGTAACACGGACTGTCAGTCCATGCGCGTGTACTGGTGTCACTATTAGCCGCGCGTGTTCTGGAGGGTTAAATTGCTTATATAAAGGCATTTACAAAAATCGAAAACACCAATGTTCCCTGCAGTTTCTACGTGATCATTTATCATCCTATATTTTAGTGAACATCCAAATGATATGTTTAAACTGGCAAGTTTGTAAACACTTTAAACTTTTTAAATACTTAATGATTTACTTACAAGGTGATACAGATGATAAAACATCAACAAAATTGTCAACGTTGTTGTGATATTTCCGAACCTGTATTCAACCAAAGCTTTGTCTTCATAGTGAGCGTAGGCTACTAGAGGTGCAAGGAAAGCCACCAGTCGCCAAAGGCTCTTTTTTACATCCCTCTGAAAAAAGGTTATGTGTTAAAACTGAATATGAGTGTAAAATGGCATGAGATGATCTGTTTTTTTTAGCTTTGTTACTGACTAACATCAGCTGTTTCTTTTACCAGGATCATTCATAGCGAATAAGTTTTCTCGAGACGTAGGAATTGGCTAACTCAGGAACTCGCTAACTCGGTCGTGTGTCGGAACTGGCTAACCGTCTCAGTCAGGAATTGGCTAACTCCGGAACCCGCTAACTCGATTTTGTCTCGCGGCGGAATTCGCTAACTCTGGAAGTCGCTAACCCGGCCGCGCCCACTGCACGGAGCGTTGCCAACCTTGTACGACAAAATAATCGTACACTGCCGTATTTCAAAATGTCAGTGTCAATAAAGATACAGTAAATGTTATTGTTTTTTGTTATCAATTCCACTTTTAACAGATAACTAGCCCAAAGTAATTCAAAAGACAATTAAAAAATCATGAAAAAGTGTTTTTTTTATTAAACTGTACAATGGCCAGTTAAATGTTTATGATTTCGATCTTAAATATAAATGCCATCAGTATAAAAGAAAATAATAGGATATGAAAAATATTGAAATTTCAGTTTAATTGGTACTAAATAATCCTCTACGAAACTAAGCTAAAATACACGCAAGTTCTTAAACACGGAAACAGATGTATGTTACATGTTATAAAACCGTTTTTAGATTGTACACCTAAGCACCACTAGTAAAAAATAGTAGAAGATATAATATTCATATAATAAAACGTTACACGGTAATTTTAATTCACGATTCTTAATAAACGAATTGACGGATTTTCCTGATTTGAGTGTTGGGTTTCCTTTATATTGCTTTCACAATCGATATAAACTATACCAAGCCATTGCTCGGTTCACCGTTGCCCAGTCCTGAGCTTCACAATAGACAATAGCTTTGTTTTTGGATAAGATTAAGTAATTTTAGCTATGGCCACCAATTCATAGAATAGAATTGTAACAAACAAGAACGCCTGCGTCCATTTAGAATCAGCCTAGAGACAAACTCCAGACTTTTAAAAAGTAGGCCTACTGAAAGACGTAATTCAACAAAATTAAGAGGATGACTCCGGGTCTACACTAATAGCCTACGATAAAAAAAAATTTACAAGTTGTATTTATGCATAGACTAACTTTTAATGCAATCCATGAATACATTAGGCCTACCACTTTATAATGTATTGATAAATATTTATTTAAATTCAATAGCTCTATTTAAAAATACATTATCACTACAATGTAATTCTTTAGTGACGTTTAACGTGTAAATTTTATTATGATTTATGATTCAAGGTTACAAGCCTAGTATATAAAATACGAACTCAATAATTTTATTTGCAGAAATTTACAAAATGGTATTTATTCGAATAAAAGAAACAAATGGTGGACTACAAAAATAGATATTTCATAACATGTAATAGATCCAAATTAAATGTGCATTTTTATCTTTTTGCATACCAATAAGCTACTATTTAAGTAAGAAACCCACATATAAAACATACTCCCTTATATTAGTACATTTCTCATCCTTATGGATCAGCTGAAGACACTTTTATTGTTAGTTCTGTCCGGTGCACTGTCTTTAGAGGTCGTGTTTTGTTTACAATTGTTTCTTGTTTTCAGTAATTTAAAACCTCGTTTAACCAAATAAAACGTTCTAATCACAACCAATAACACGTCCCCTAGTTATATAACCAAACAGTAATGAACAAATCATGAAGTTAACCATAAAATAATAGAAACAAAATTTTGTCGACACTAGCGATCAGTGTCACCGGACATGAACTAGACACGAAAAACGAGCTTCAAAGTTTACAATGGGATGTCAAGTTTACTTGTGTTGGTTAGTCTATGGTAAGACTATAATGCATTTTCCACAATAATAATCATAGGAATAATGTTAAACATACTTCTAAATATATTTATTTTATCGACTACGTTGCTCTTACTCCTAATTAATCGTAGGATATGACATTATGGTACCGATACGATATAGGTACTACACTTTCGGCAACACTGGCCAAAAATATTCGTGCTTGGCTCCCATTGGACGGCTCGCGAGGCTTCTGATTGGGAGTTAGCGAGTTCCGCCGAGGGACCGAGTTAGCGACTTCCGTGCGAGGACGGAATTCGCTAACCCGGCTCTAGAGCGGGTTAGCGGGTTCCGGAGTTAGCCAATTCCGAAACCGAACAAGTTAGCGAGTTCCTCTCATCGACCAAATTTGAAGATAGGGCATTTAACATGGGGTTAGCGAGTTCCAGAGTTAGCCAATTCCGCGGACCCGTTTTCTCCACACAGTCGGAAAATTCTCTGAACAATTGCCTATTATTGGGAGATCCATTAATGGAAAATATTTGTGTTGCTTAGTACAATACAGGCTTGAAGACTTGTGGTCGACAATGGTGATGTGTATAGTGCAGGACTTGACCTGTTGTCTTAACTGTCTAAGCCTGCGTTCTCCTAATTGCCTAGTGTCTAATCTGTACGAAGGTTAAAAATGAGGATATTAAAATAATTAGGTGAGTCTGTTGCTCAGTTGGTAGCAATACAGACTTCGGGCCCAATGCAGTGATATCGTGGGTTCGGATCTTGGTACCCTCACTTTTCATCACTACAGTTAACCCTTGTACTGTACCGGCTCACTCCTTGCTTTGCTGGACGTTTCTCTCACAGGACTCTTTGGCCCATGTAGACAGGCAAATTCAAGATAAATGGTCCCTCCAACAACTTTAAAAAAATTATCTTCAAACATACCTTATCCTTCGTGAAGGCGACATATACAGTGATGTACACCAGGTTGAGCATAATTCCGATTGAATGAGTGAAAACCATCGGCTTGACCTTCATCAACAGACCTTGCTGGACTAGTAGAACACTCCTGCAATAAACTAGGTATAAAATATGACAAATTTCCAATGTTTATCCAAGGTTACATTCATAAAATAACATTTGATTGATATCTTAAAGTAGTACTGAGGTAGGAATAAACTTGATTCATAGAGTTCAAGAAAATTTACAACTCTTATGATACCTGTTTTTCCGACAATTGTTTCAAAATTCTTGTGACAGTAGATGGGATTGTCTCCCTGCATTAACAAACTATGCAATCCCCTTTTACCTAAAGATTAATTCGTTGCTGAAAAAATGTAATATACAATACCTACATTTACTTAACTACAATATTATTATGTTGATTGTGGATCCATGCAAAAAGAGTGATTTACCTACATCAAAGAGGTAAAATAAGTATGCTTTCCTTTCCAAAGCTAATTAAAAACTACTAATTTAATTTTTCCAAGAAGAAGACAACAAAATAAAGTGATTACTTATTACCATAGACAAATAGAATGAATATAGACCGGCAGCAGTGCTGCGATTAGCATATGTTCCGGCGCCCACCGCCAGGAGTGTCATGTAGTTACGGCACACACCACTGCAGCGTCTGCTGGTAGCATACGGCTCCTGTGCTCCTTGCCTGCAGCGGTGTGCGCCGTAACTACATGGCACTCCTAGCGGTGGGCGCCGGAAGCTTCCTTTGACAGTATATTTATTCTATTTGTCTATGTTATTACTAACCTTGCCATCATCTCCATGAGAGGAAAGAATGGAATTCCTTGAGAGGATTTGTTCTTCCATATCTTCAAGCAAAGAAACCTGAAATCATAGAAACTATTATGTTTATTCAGTAAAACAATACAGAATGAAAAAAAAAAACAACCAAGACAGTTATTTTCAAAGACAAAGATATAGATTTCTCAAAGATGAATGGTATCACAATATTTGAGTTTTTGGTAGTTTTGGGCTGAATTAAAAATTAAGGATAGCTTTAAAGTGTTTGTATTGTGTATTAGTTGAAAAAAACCAGAACTCAACTACTTAAGCTTACTACGAACCAAAGGGGATAAAAACAAAAAATCTTATAAAATAATAACATTTCAAATACAGTAGTGTTATGTGTTTCTTTTGTTTTTTTTTATATGCCTTAATAGTCAATGATAGATAATACATCTTTATATACCACCTTAAAGATACCTGAGAAGAAATGTACCTTAACACTAATAATCAGAAACTTAAACTTAAAAAATGAATTCTGTAACCTCCTAAATAAATAAAGCTGAATCTTAAAATTAATTTTCAAACTTACACTGGAGATAATAAGAGAACAAAAGATGAAGCACTGGCAGCAGTCCCAATAGCATCTTTATAGTCTGCTAATCCCATCTTTCTATAAGATTTAAACCAGTTTAGAAACCAAAAACATAAAAACAAGTGGATAATTGCACCTATATAACAATTAATTGAAAATTGTATTTCCTAGTTAAAACTCAGGTTGGCAATACTGTGATTGTTACTTACATGTAGCCTAGTATTTAACGAAAGTACTTCTGCTCTTACAGCTAGCTTGAGTTTGCTGCGTGTTCCAATTGCTTTATGAATTTTCATGTGGAGATTTTATACCATCCTTACTTGAAGCCATTATACAGGAAGGCCGAACAGTCAATGTAATAAATATTTATAATATTAATTTCAGGGAAAGAATCAAACTCTGCATTATTTCTTAGCACCCGACCTCCCTTTTAGATAAAATGGACAAAACAGAATCTAAGTTAAGTTCAATGACCTCCTAGTCACTAGTTTTATTGTTATCAGACAAAATATTTTGCTGGTTCTTTTATAGTCTGTATCATCAAACATGTCTCCTAACCTCCGTCTGCCTAAAACCACTGGCCATAGTCCCCAGGTAGATGGAGTATCAGGAGACAGGTTCCATCATACAGACTATAGCACAATTACAGATAATTTAATTATTGATATATGTCCTCATTATACTGACAAATAATGTCTTTTGGGATGGAAAATCATCAGCAATTATTATATTTTGAATTTTCCATTGCAATTATTGGTACTTTTTTATTTTAGTCACATTCACAACATAAATTACCTACTTTTATACATAATAAATATATTCTTCATGAAAAATAATTACAATTCTTTGAATAAAAACGTAATATTTTAATTTGATTTCAAATAATTTGTTTATGGATTCACAACTTTTACATAAATTACAGAGAAATTACAATACTAACCCAGCAATAAATAAAATCAGAATAACTTATGTAAGAAATCTAGTAAAAAATGAAAACATACATACCAGGTTTTTTTGAGTATGGAATAGTAAAGCCCTTGGTGGTTGTATCCCAATGAAACTCTCTGTAAATTCAGTAATCTCTCCCTTCTTTCAATGCTATCTTATCTAATTTTGCTTGTTAACTAAATGCCAGTCATGATCCCATTGGATATTTACTTTAAAAGTTTATAATTTCCTGCAATTTGTTTTATTCTGTACAGTTTATTGTGTTTTTTAAAAGTAATATTTTGGCTATTCATGCAACATAACTATTCAAGAAGAGAATACTTCCTACTTCAGGGTTCCAGTGTTTTATACTAATCTTTAAAACACAAGACTTACCCAACGCTATTCTTCATTCATGTCAACTATTTTGTAGTGAGTTTATCATAAGTTTATCATCGCTGACCTTCCAACAATTTAATTGTCGGTTCAAGTTTAGGAAGACAAGATATTATCAAACTCTTCACTAATGTTGTGTAGTTTTGTTGATGCTAGTAGTAGCTATCTCATTTGTAAAAAAAAATGTATATTTATATTTGACTCACCTAAACTTAAATGTTCATTTAACGTTAAATAAGGACTTGTGTGATCAATATGTAATGTAACACTTTGTTTCACTTTTTTGAGTGCAGCAAAGATATTTTGCGCACCAATTACATATAAGATCCCTTTCTTGAAAAATAACAACTTTTTAGTTTTTATGAATTTTCTACAGTTGACACTTACGTTAATATTTTAGTTTGGATTTTCTCTAGTAGATTTAACAAAACATTCTTGGTAATTTCTGCAAAATCTTTGGGCGCATAGCTGTAATCACGTAGGTATCTTGTATCATTAATACCTTTTTAAATTGACACGACTTTTAGGTTAGGTTTACAACAATAGGCAATACAGTATTATATTGATCAATATTGAACAATTAGGTAATGCATTCAAAGCGTAGAAAAACATAAAAAAAACTTATCTACTAGTATTATAATTATCAAAAATTGTAATTAAACAGCCAATAGGAAAAAAGCAGAATAAAACTTTTACATAAACTGGAGGATTGCGTTTACAAATAGTAATATTTTAGCACAAAGGGATATAATCTTAAATTTTAAAAAGAAAAATTTGCAAAGTTATAAGATTAAGATAGCGGGGCATAGTTAGGAAAATTGTTCTATTGTTTTAGGTAAAAGTTTTTACCAGAGATAAAGTTAGAATACAAAAACTGCCACAAACCTGTTTGGACTATGCATTCATGAGCATGAGAGTAAAATGATCTTCAAGGAAAAGTGCGAGTAAAGGGGGGGGAGGTATAGATTGTATACCTCAGGTCAAGATTGCAGACCACAACACCTGAGAATTAAATATTCAGTCCAGCTGATGATAAGTTGATAATACAAACAATTTGAACAGTGGAATAAATTAGGCTATGTTTGGAGAAGAGCGTCCAGATTCTTCGAGACACAAAGGAAATGCATTTATATTTTCATTTTGTTAAAGCTCTCACAGTATTTAGAGTATTAAACTGAACATCCAAAAAGTAATTTAACCTGATACCAAAATTTATAAACCTGATAGAGATATATTATTGAAAGTAAAAGCACATGCAAACATTCCAAAACATGAAGGGTTTTGGATATCTAGAACACTATTGACAAAAATAAAAAAATATGTTTTATTTCAGGTTTAAAAAAATTATAATTAGAAGAATATAGTAGATGAACGAAGTTACATTTTAATTTTTGGGCTTTGGTAGTACCGGTACTATTGAATAGAAAAAATATATATTCATAGTAAAGCAAAAAATAAATCCTTTAAATAATTATGCACTCTCGATTTAAGCGATAGCTTGAACCTTATTCTTAAACAGTATTATGAGTTGATTCCATATGTGACATAGTTAATTATATATTCTGATAGTTTTTTGTTGTAATTCATTTGTGATAGCTCGTGATATTTGTTTGATATCACCCCGAAGACCAAGACTGTGTGATATTTGTTTTTAATATTTCAATACCTTTTTTCACAAGGTCTTATGCCCTGTTATATTCTATTATTATATTATATTCTTGACTAATAAATAAATCCCTGTCACATATTATGAGTATTCTCGGTTAATAAATAAATAGCTGTCACATATTATGAGTATTCTCGGCTAATAAATAAATCCCTGTCACATATTGTGATAGCTTTCGTGTTTTATGGGTTAATAAATATTAGACAACATTAATTACAAATTAATTTTAATAATTTAGCTATAACTTTATGTTGACTTAAAGTTATAATATTTATATCACATCACACAAACATTTAATCTTACAAAACAGGGCCCCAAGAGGTTTTACGGTTTGTGAGAGGGGGGAGGGGGGAGAAGGAAGGAAGAGAAAAAATCTCCCACAAAGAATGTGGAGAGGGTACATTAATCTCTCAGGCCCATAGCACTTCACATGTAAACCTTATACAAAATTGTACTTCTGAGTAAAAATCGTCACATTTGTGTCCTATTGTAAAATGTACTATTGAAGGACATTGCGGCAAGATAAATACCGATGGTATATTGTGTATCTACTCTAACACCCTGAAATTTAATTTTCTTAGTTAAGATAGCTCAACTCTTATCACTTTCCAAAAAAGTAAAACAATTCAATTATTGTTCATTTTAATCAAAGCACTTGATTCTTTAAAGCAGTTTATTCAATAATAGTTTACAATGCAATCGTCTGCTTGCAATATTGAGCGGGGAGCTAAATTAATCCAATACTTTTCTAAAGTCAATGCTACATCTGTTTCCAAAAAATGAGATATAGACTTGCAGTATCCAATGTCAATTACAAGTCTGGTTCACGTAAATGAATTTTCTACTTGCAGGAACCAAAGTCAATGGCACATTTATTTGGATTATGTAAATTACCGCAATTGTCTACTTGCAGTCTCCAGACAATTCTTCTGGACTGATAATTACTGGTTTACGCCAAGGGAATGTATACTTGCAATATCCAAACTAAATAGTTTTTTTTTCTTCACATTAACGGAATTTACATTTGCAGTACCTATTCAAAGTCTGCATTAATGGTACATCTAGTGCACAAAAATGGAAAGACTACTTGCAGTATCCAAACTCAATGGTAGGCCTATATTTGGTTCACATAAATGGAATGGCTATTTAGAGTATTTAAAGTCAATGGTGCATCAGCCTAATTTCGGCGACCCTAATTATTGGTTATTCATTTTGTAGTAAAATATGCTCCATGCTATTAATTCAATTTTTCTTCCCTTTTTCTCTGTACGGTATTTGTAATGTGCTATTTTAGATGATCCGTTGACTAACACATGTTGCAATTCTTATTTACCTTTCTATTTATCTCGCAAAAAATGTCATGGTGACCAATTAACCCTAAAGGCCAATGTTAAATTTCTGCAGATCGCTTCAGTCTTTCAGGAGGAGTATTTGTAAAACAAAAGCAGGAGTGTAGTACAAGAGCTTCGCTCCGCTCAATTATATCTTTAACCCTTTCCTCTCCAATTACGGGAGGCATATTTTCTCACCAGCTCCATTTAATTTGAGCCAAATTTTCATATTTCATTTGTTTACAAAAAAAATAAATATATTGTCTTGATTTATAGAAGGCTGGTAATCTTTTACTAAATAACTTACTTACAAAAAATAAAAAATATAAAATTTCAAAAATCAAAATACAAGCATAATAGGCCTACGTTGTCATATTAATGGGCGGGCCCGGCCCGACATTAGAGTTTGTGCGGCCATGACGAACTGAGCGGAAAGGGTTAAGACCATCACTGCTAGGCAAAAAAAAAATAAAGAAATTCCTATTAACAGTAGAGGGTAGCAAAGCAACCTATGGCCCTAAAGTAAAATGCAGGTCAGAGTGGAGAGAAACCAGTCAAACCCCATTAGTCTTAACCCTTTTCTATTGTATTGTGTGTTTTCTATTGTTCTATTGTATTTTGTTTTTTTTTCTATTGTGCACACTTAGAGCTGCTCAGGTAGATCTCCTGTTCATTGCGATACCAAATTTGAGGTAAATCGGTGAATTTTAACTTGTTATTCTCTGATGCTTTATCATACCAATACCATAGACTAACCAACACAAGTAGACTTCTCATTCCATTGTAAAATTTGAAGCTCAATCTTGTTGATGACACTGGGCACTAGTGTCTATGAAATGTTGTTGATATTATTTTTATGATGGGCTAATTTTATGAATTGTGCTTTACTGTTTGGTTATGTAATGGGAAGATGAGATATTGTTTATAATTGAACATTGGGAAAAAGAGGTTTTAAATAAGTAAAGAAATAACAATAAACAAATTGTAAACAAAAACACGATCCTAGTGGCGGAACAAGCAGTGAAATTGTCTTCAGCTGATCCCTAAGGATGAGAAATCTACTAAGGGAGTATCATTTCTATATGCTAATACCTAATGTTATCACTCTGTAAAGATTCACAGATTCACTTAAAATTTGGTATCAAAATGAAGAAATTTAAGTACATTTGTCTATACCATCGGGTTTTTATAATTTCTTCAACTAAAAAATATTACACAGAGATAGTAGAGCCAGAAATATGACTCGCTGACCAACCCACCATCTGCCTCAGCCACCCCATGCCATGCACAATTGACTCAAGGGATAAGACCATTAGTTCAGTCACAGTCGACTGGTTCTGCCTCAATCTTACCTGCGTTTTACTATAGTCAAGTAAAAAGGCGCATTTACACCCGACCAATTAAATAGGCCAAAATACTGATTTTACCATCTCACAGAACTTGTACATATTTTATATGTATTTCCTCAACTGTATAACAATTTTTGTTTTACTTTCTAGTTTCTACCTATACAACCTATTTTCTAAAACTTTGTACACTCAGACCTATCCTATTATACTATAAAGTAAAAACAACAAAGACATAATAGTATTCTCTCAGTGAAAACTACTGTAAAAACAATCAGTTTGAATGCTAAACAAATATATACAATGTACATTAAATTATAAATAAAAAATCTTGAAATAAATACAACTCCTATTATATTTAAGTGATTTGTTTTGCAATCTCCAAGCGTTCAGTAAGGCCTTCCTCGATTATTTCCGTATTTCGCCAGTTTGGTAAAGTTGTGTCCTTTGGACCTGCGATTCATTCTGTATCGATTAAATTTCGGTGGAGAAACGGGTCTGAACTCTGTAAATAAACAATTAAACTTCATTATAAGGTGAATCAGTGACTCAACTGATAATTAATGAGTTTGTGACCCAGTCAGTGAATTGATCATTGTAAATCTAAGGGTGTGATGTTAATTTATGTTTATTTAAAGTAGTAGCTCTTTGAATTAGACTCTCCCAATCAGTCATTTAACTTACATGATTACTCTGAATAACCCAGGCCTTTATAGGTATAGAGTAGAGTGAAGAAATGCATATCCTAGGATTACTTAACAATTAACAATGTAGATTAGAAAGGTAACTGGTCATGATAAAATGCTACACTGTTGTGTTTGCTTACAAACAAGTGTATAATGTAAGTTAATTACTCAGAAAATGTGTGAATCTTGAATATTCATAGAGAAAAATAACTCTTGTAGAATAAAAATAGTTACTTCTAAGAGTAACTGTAAATAGTAGAAACTCAGAAGACGAAGACATACTAACTAAGTTATCAAATGCCAATAAGTGTTGGGGAGCCTGCAAGAAGTTGATCTCATCTAAAGTATTATCTCACAGAACCAAAATACAGTTATATAAGACAATAATTCAACCTATTCTGTTATATGGTAGTGAAACATGGGTATTGTCCAAGAAAAATGAAAACCGACTCATGGTGTTTGAAAATAAAGTACTAAGAAAAATATTTGGTCCAGTACAGGAGGGACAAATGTGGAGAATAAGGAAAAATAGAGAGTTAAGATCACTATACACTGACCCAGATATTGTTGCAATAGTTAAAGGAAGAAGGTTAAGTTGGATAGGGCATGTGCTAAGAAGAGAGAAAGGAACAAGACTGTATGAAGTTTGGAGAGCCACACCTGGAGGTAAACGTCCATTGGGAAGGCCGAAATTGAGATGGACTGACCAAGTATTGAACGACATCAGGACAATGGGTGCAAGTGTCAACTTGGCAGAAGACAGAGAAGGGTGGAAGAGGCTGGTACTTGAGGCGAAGAATCAACTGAGATTTGTGGAGCCACGGCAGTAAGTAAGTAAGAATAAAAATCCATTTATCTATTTATTAGGCCTGCTTACCATATAGGCTTATCTAGTTAATGGCAAGTAGGGCATGCACAATAAGCTTTAGTGATGTGCCGGGAACCTAACCCCTCCCCCCCCCCATAAAATACAATATAAATTACCTTGAGATCTTCTGTCTTCAGGTATGTCAAAGAGACTTGTCAAATCTTTGGGACCAGTCGATGGTTTTGGTATTTGGTCATATTGCTGCTTAGTATTATTATCCCAAAGTTGATTTTGATTTACATTATCATTTAATTGTGGCCTTCTGTAGAACAGATTGTCAGAATCTTTTTCAATATTTGCCGCCCGAACTTCATCAGCGTTATGCTGTGCAGTGTTGTGAACACCAGAATCTCCGTCTCTAGAATCTTGTCTCCTGTAAAATAAGTCACCACCATCAACGTCTGGCTTGACTCTTGGACCATCATAAGGATTTCTATACTGTGAAGTATCGTGAGCGCCAAATCTCGAGTATGAACTATGTTGGGAGTCATACTCATCTTTGACGTAAGAGTCTTCATAAGATCTATTGTAATCATCAGTACTAGATCGTCCCTCGGATTTAAAGTTGACGTTACTAGTACCAGGAGTTTCCCTTGATAAAGTTCTCTGACCCTCAGAAACACTGTTTGAAGTTTCACTTTTTATGATTGAATTCATTGTTTCATTAGAATTACTATGTTGAAAATCCCCAGAATATCTTCTTTGGTCATCAGAAAAACTGTTTGGTGTTTCTCTATTCATGCTCGAGTTCATCCTTCCACAAGAACTATTGCTTTGAAAATCTCTTGGATTCTCAGTGAGTCTTCTCTGGTCACCAGAAAAACTAAAGCCACGATTATCTAGAGATGGCTTGTTATATTTTGCTGAAGGTTCGCCGCCCTCTTCATCACTAATTCCCTGATCATGCTCCCTCTTAATGGTTGTATTTGAAGTTGTTACGTTTTGCTGACCACCTTGCAACACTTTTGATAAACGCTCACTCAAGCTGAGCTTCTGGTCTGGATCTTCATCGTCAATATGTGTTTCCAGTGGTTCTTTTGGCTCCGGTTGAATTTCCTGGAGATTAGATTTTGGTGTATAAACAACTTTTGGTTTGGGTGCAAAAAAATGAAATCTGTTATACACGTCATCTCTTTTTCTTTGAGGATTTGTTAAGGTGACACATTTGTTTTGGGGCTTTTTGGGAGGGTCTGGTGGCGCCGACTCTATAAACTTCATAACCCAACTTGGTTCGTTGTCACTTCCAAGTGACTCTGACACACTTCCTAGATCACTGCCTGGAGTTTGTTGATTTGAGACTTTTGTCTCTGTTTTTGCAAGAAAGAGAGAATTTTGACCGCTGTTGGCTTGTGGATTGTAGAATTGGCTTTGGGACATTCCTTGTGGCATCTGAGAAAATTCATGTGGTCTTTGGGGCATTCCTTGTGGTCTCTGAGGAAATGCATGTGGCCTTTGGGGCATTTCTCGTGGCCTCTGAGAAAATGCATGTGGCCTTTGGGGCATTCCTTGTGGCCTCTGAGAAAATGCATGAGGCCTTTGGGGCATTCCTCGTGGCCTCTGAGAAAATGCATGTGGCCTTTGGGGCGTTCCTTGTGGCCTCTGAGAAAATGCATGTGGTCTTGGGGGCATTCCTTGTGGTCTTTGGGGCATTCCTTGTCCTTGCCTCTGAGAAAATGCATGTGGTCTTTGGGACATTTCTTGTGGCCCCTGGGAAAATTCTTGTGAAGTTTGGGGCACTTCTTGTGGCCTTTGGGAAAATTCATGTGAACTTTGGTGCACTTCTTGTGGCCTCTGGGAAAATTCTGGTGAACTTTGGGACATTTCTTGTGGCCTCTGAGGCATTTCCTCGATAGGCCTACCCATGTTTGTAGTTTTAATTCCATTACAGGATCTGGAAAAATATTATTTCCATTATTATTGGTGTTATTTGTACTAACAAAAATGAGGCAACTTAAAATAAAATTTAAAATGCTAAGATTAAAAAAACTAAAATACTAATACTAAAAAAAAGATAAAAAAATAAAAAAAGATTTTAAAAACCCACATTAAAAAAACGGTATCAGCAATCCTTTAATATGGGTGAGTGGTGGGAGTTATACATTTTATGTGTTTTTTATGGGAAAATAACATAAGTAACAATAACTTTTGAGAAATAATTTTTACAGGAACATACTAATTTGAATGAATCCCGGGTTTTTTTAACAAATCCAGTTTTTTAAATTGTATAGTTTAGTAAATGGAATATAACATCAGTTATAATAACTTTTAACCCGTATTTTTTACGGGAATGGTAATTGTACCATTTTATTCAGAATTCAAGGAACCATAACATACTAAATTTGAATCAAAATCGGTTTTTTCCTCAAATCCGATTTTCTTTTACTTTATGGTATTGTTATGGGGAAAATAACATAAGTTACAAAAATTTTTAACAGTAATTTTTACAAGAATTGAGTTTTTACCACTTTGTTCAGAATTTAAAGGGCTATAACATAATAAATTTGAATTAAAGTGGCTCAGGCTATTTTTTAGATGGTTTGGTTTTTTCAGTATTTTATGGGTTTTTATTGGAAAGTCGCCATTAAAAATCAAAATTTCAAAAAGTGAAAAAAACGTTTGGTAGTACTGTAGACTCCCTCTTATCCGGACTCCTTGGGACCAAGGCCAGTCGGGATAACGATTTTCCGGCTAAACCGACGTCCCCAAAAACATGTTAAAATGGACTGTTTACTGTGATATTCGACTTAAATTTAGGAGAGCATTGTATTTAGACACGTGATAACTGGTCTCAAATCTTTCCCACGAGAACAGTAGTTTCAGTACTGCCCACTTCCTGCCGATCTAGTCCGGTTAAATCAATGTGCTGATAAAAATTGTCTGGTTAAAGAGATTTCATTTCCGCCGAATGTAGTCCGGATAAGAAGGAGTCTACTGTAATCATTATTGAAACAGTAACAATCCGGGTTCAGCAAACATTGTGACCCTCAGAATGGCCACAAAATATGCTAATTTTATAACTGAAAATTCAATAAAAACGTTTTGAGTATAACGCTAAGCTATACATACTTTGATGGTGGTCTGATGAGTTTATATTTCTCATTAATCTTAGCATTGATTAAGAGCTCCTCAAGTATGTCTTTGGGTTTTCTCTTTTTGTAGACACACAGAATATGACTCGTTCCAATCCATCTGATGAACAAACCCATCTGCTTTGCCATGCTAAAAATGAAAACATAGCCTATGTGAGCTAAAAATATGTGAAAATGCAAAGATACTACATATTTTATTTTGTTGTTGCCAAAACAAGTGAGATGTTTATAAAAAACCAGATAAGTGTTAATGTGCAGCCTTCTTGATAGGTAAGCCAGTTGATGTGACAGAAAGGGACCCAATTGAACAAACCCCAGAAGGACAAAAATCCAGTACAACACTATAAACATTGGTAACTACCTTGTGCATCGCTTCCATCACCCTTAATCTCATTCTTAGCATCGATAGTTTTTTCCTCCCTCCTCATATTAATCTGGCGTTACATTTTTTTTAGTCCATCACTATAAATTATAAACTATGTGTGCTAAATTATGTGAGCATTTGAATTTGAACATTTAAAGTGCACTAGAGTCCTGATTATACCAGCTTCTGTGTTAACGGAGGCACATCTTGAACGTAAATATTTGATAATTGTGTCAAATCGGAGCCTGGCACATATTAGTAAAAGTCTGTAGAAGATGGAAGAGATTGGCCAAGGCAATTGCAATCAATTTAAAGATGGCGATGAACCTTATATGGTAGCTAGACCGATGGATTCCCAAAATCTTTGACAAACATATTTAAAAATACCCCCGCAGAAGCAAACCTGCAGACCAAGTGAATTGCCACTAGCTGATATATCTCACTAAAATATCTCAATGAAAATGTCCTACTTATTCCCTACTACCATTAGTTTACCAAGTAATTAGGTTTGCTGCTACAGAGAAGATAATAAGTTGTGTTTTTTTTAGGGATGGACGAGATTGGATTTTTAGTTCGAGACGAGACGAGACGAGATTTTTTATTTCTCATAAAATTTCGAGACGAGATCGAGACGAGATTTCTCTTCTCATACACAACGGGAAATGCACGTTCGAAATTTTTACCTGATTTTGTAACATTGTTAGATGACTGTTTAAATACTAAAATAATGATAATAGGCAAGAATATTTACAATCTTTCATTAAATAACATCAGCATAACATTTTTTTATTAATCACGCCTAACTTATTAAAAATGCCTACGATTAGGAAACATGGTGATATCAGTTAGGATAGAGTTCAACTTATCCTAAAATAAAATAAATCATAAAATAAAAGCAATATTAATTTTTATAAAATAGTTACTTGTTTTGACTTTTTTTATAGTAATAAAACATTCCTCACACTGCTTACACTTAACAAAACTTCTCAAATGTTATTAAAGTAATATTATTAAAATAATGAAAGTAATATTTACATTAAAAGAGTTAAAGTAATATTTACATTAAAAGAATTAATTAAATAAGAACGCCTTCGAAAAGGAAACGCAACTACAACAAGCTCCTGTATTGCGGGTATTGCATTGACTTTCTGCAGGCGTTTTTAATTTTTTTTTTTTTTTTTTATTCTCGTCTCGATAAAAATCTCGGCCAAAAAGTAATCTCGTCTCGTGTAACGAGATTGAAAATTTCCCGAACATTTCCCGAAATTTCGAGACTTGACCATCCCTAGTTTTTTTATTCAAATGTTGATAGCTTAGTATGGAATAAACAAATTTGCTAAAATTTGATCAAAATGTGTTCATAGACAAGCAAACTACAACAGTTGAATTTATTATCCATATTGTTAGGTGTCAACATTATGCTTCTCCACATGTTAGGCTAAGTAAGTAATGAATTTGCTAAACAAACTCATTTATCGAGATATTAGTTCAATTTTAAAACAACTTCATAATCAATCTATCTCATAATTTATCTCAGCCTCTAAAATTTGTGAATTTTTAGATCTTTTGTACTTTACATCAACAAAAACTAACAACATGATGTTCACAACTTAAATCCTTGAAAACAATATTTGTTAAACAACAAACGACCTAGAATTAACCACTCAGCTTACTCACTCAGCATTACTCACTCAGAAATTTGCTTCCTTTCTTCTCCGGTGTATTCATCACTAAAATACAGATCTTCGTGACAAGACTTTTTGAAGTTTTTTATAATGTGGAGAGGTGTTCCGAATTGTTTGCCTGCAATCCTAAATAAAAATGCTTCCATAAATATAAAAATATAAATTGCAGCCTATTGCTATGTTGTAGCTGTAGTTTAATGATCAGTCATCAACATTTTCAAAAGACAAAATTCAACATTCATAAATACAATAGCCTTCATCAAAGAACAGTAATTAATAATAATTATCATGGTAAGCTTTGAGTGGGAGTAGTTCTCCAATAGGGAAAGTTCTTATTAGAGAATTCTTCAAGATAGATAGACTTCAAACCACCTGGCCACTCGATTCTCACCCAGCTAAAAAAATTTGCCTCAAGGCATTCATTTACTTTCAGTCTTTAGGTGTTGCTGCTTACTTAAAATCACTGCCTTCCTTTAATTTTAACTAATCACATGCAAATTCAATGTTGAAATACATTTAACAGCTGGTTCACACGAGGGCGTTAGTCGCAGCGTTTGTAAAACGCACATTAGCCAAATAGTCTACCTTGGTGTGCTTTGAACCAACGTCACCAAAACACAGTGCTTAAAGTTTTCACTTTAAATGCCACGCTTGCTTCTAGTTCCATAGTCAGTAGTTCAAATAACACCTCGCGTCTACCACTGTCATGTATACGGTTTCACATTTTGCTAACGTGCGCTCAACGTGGCGTCTATTGTCCTCATGTGAACAAGGTGTAACTAAGGAAGTGTCGATCCATTAACTAGACATTGATATCAGTATTGAGAATCAGTTGTCAAGAATCAATATCGATATTGATACTCGACAAGTCTGTGAAGATCGGGTATTGATATAGTACTAATTTATTACTTGTTATTCTTTTATTACGTTCCTGCTGTTACCACTTTTGTATGAATAGTTAGCAATCTTGTTAATATTTCAATCATTTTGTAAGCTGGTGTAAACCGTTGAGAAATAAAAAAATAAATATGTGTGTCCGTGGGACATGAGCACGGGAGATGATCAGGATTAGGCGGAAAATGATCGTGATATTATTATTACCAAAGAGCGATATTTAGGATTTTATTTTTATTTTATTTTACCCTTTATCTTACCCTTTATTTTACCTTTTATTTTATTTTTAGAGTTTATTTAGGATCACGGAAGGCAGTGATAATGTTTCTGCGACTAAGAAAGATATTTAGGATTTTGCAGCGATCAAGGACAACGATGAAGAAGTCTCCATGATCATGGGAAATGATCACAACATTACCTTGAGCTCTGCTTGATCAAAAATCTTAGGTTGTATCATCTCTAGTTAAAGTAAAATTTATTTTTTATTTGTTTGCCTTTTTACCTTTTATGTGGTATTTATTATTTATTTAATACGTTTAGAAGGATTGGGATTTGAATTGGCTTTGGCTGAGTTTTTCATTGTTACATTAATATTATTTTAGTAACTTTGAAAACACTCCATTAAACCTCAAATTTTTTGTAAAGACATGAATTGGTCTATTTAGTTTAACCAATCTGTAGAGAAAAATTTGTATAAAAATAAATGGTATAGGTATCGGGAATCGATACATTTTGGTATATCAACAAATTTCTATAAATAACCAAAAAAAACACTAACCTGTAAAGATTGGTCTGGCGTTTGGCGTTTGGGTTTAGAAGAAAATCAGGTGTTTCTCGTGTTGTACCAAAATAAGATTTCTTTGCCTGGAAATTACAATTTCATTTAAGTAAAAAACTAAAATACAAATATACAATACTACAACTATCTCCTTTTAACGGGTCCCAGGCCACACATTTTACAGTAGAACTCCCCAATTAGATGCTATTCTGTCTTAACAATTTGACTAATAACTTTTGAAACCAAGACATTGCTATCATCCTACTGAAACTTTGTTGTAATCAAAAGTTAGACTCAAAACAAGTCACGTTTTCTTAACGAAAAATACCCAGATTTACAGTCCTTCATTCAGTATCCAAAATCAGGTTCATAAGCTAACAAACCACTGATAGTAACATGGTTGAAGTTAACAAATAGTAAAATCACCTTAATTGAATAACAGCATTTACTTAGGTTCACAATTGCATTTTCAACTGCTTTCATCTTTCCTGCTCTTTGTCCAAAGCCTCTACTTCTGCCAACGACATTTCTGTCAATCATTGCTTCAAAAAAACTGAAAAACAAAAGTCATGTATTAGAAAGTAGGCTTGCACAATCAAAAGTACGCTAATGAAAATAGCTTCTTCTGCAGGTTAAAAATAAATAGTACACGAGATCCATCCTTAAAATCTACTGTTCAATGGTGCTATTAAAACTGGACAATCCTCCAAAAGGATCCATAAAAGGGCAATAATTTCCAATGTAATTCAGGGTCTTGATATTTACCCCCGCCCCCCCCCCCTTTGGTACACATCAGATAATCTGTCATTCTCTATTCCAATCACCAATTGTTTATTCTACCCATCTCAGCCTTAAGTTATACTACAAGATACAATGAACTTATTTTTTTTAGTTTCTCGTTCTTTAATCATGAAACAAACCTACTTTAAGCATGAAGTAAACAAAACGTTCAAATTTTGGTCATACTTCAAGCTTTTAACCTATTAGCATAACTGTTAATGATAGCCAAACCATAAATATACAACGCTTTTTTGTGATGGATCAAAAATGTCTATTAACACTTTCGCTATAGACATGTTCAAAAATAATATTCCTCCACCACAAGCCAGTGTTAAGTATGGTTGACGCGTGGTCTGAGCTAACTGGACTGACATCAACTATTGTTGACGCCAAAATTAATACACTCTATGGCTTGTCACAAATGTACGGTTAATTTGATCATTTATTTTGTTTGTTAGTTGTAGGTCTAATGGAATAACCGCTAAATATGCTGTTACTGTGGTTTGCATGGTGATTTTTTCCCGTACAATGGGAAGTTTTCTCTTGCACACAAATTTCTACAGGTTGTGTTAGTTGACCCAGACCTTTTCAAAAGATTTAATGTGTGTTTGTTATAAACTTTTTTGTGTCTTAGAAAAAGACATTGATACATACTATGAAGTAAGAAATAGACTGATGTCAACTATAGTTGACTAAATAAATATTATTTACACTCTAAGTGATCAGAAAAACTAATAGAAAAGATTGGTCTTTGGGTTTGTTTCCCAAACAGGAAATCTGGCCTGCAGGTTAGGGTAGTGACTAAAAGTCTGGTGTCAACTATAGTAGCAAACGTGTTTAATACATAAGCGTGATCCTCAAAATCACAATTGAGCGAAAGAATAGTTTTTATTTCAACTTAAAAAATTTTTCATCTGTAGAGTACTCTTGTGACATGGACATTGATTTAATTGATGATAATTTACTTCTAGAACGCCTAATAATGCAGCAGTTTTCATTGGACGAGGTGAGAACCAACATATCTTCTCTGTGTTCTCTCCCCGTGGCAGGGCACGGACAGAAAAACTAGTTAAAAGTCTGTCAAAAGCCCGTAGGCAAGAGGGAGAGTTCACCTACATCAATCCGACATGGTTTCTCTTCTTCTCTATTATAAACTCCTCCGTGTCAGGGTTATCCCTCACCGAACAGAAGAGTATTTCTCTCTTGTTCACCAGCTCGTTCCATTCCGTGAAATAATCCATGAGAATAAAGTTATCAGCAATCCAAGGGCTAATCACGATATCACCTTCATCTGCGGTTGAGTCTTCATTTAAGGTACCTACAAACATGTACATTTCATGCAATAAAATTAGCTGATGAAAGTTAGTTTGGTTACCAAACAAAAGTTCCTCCCATCTAGGATTATAAGCTTAAGTAAAATAGATCTTTTAAAAATTCAACGTAAATACCTCATAATTGTCAATTTAAATACTAAAATCTTTACAGACGAATGGTAAAATTGTTGGTATATCTTAGGAAATAGTTGAGATCTCAATTTTAATGTCAGTGTCTTTTTGCAATGAGTACTGAATTTTGTTGTTTCTTTATTTTTTATTTCTTATGACTAATTGAATTTAAAATAGCTAATTTGATAATACCTAGTCTTTTTTTACTTTTACAAGGTTATTCAAAATCAAAACCATAGATGAGTCAATACAAGAAATTGTCGTTCCTTGGCAATTATAGCATCTCATCAAGGTACAAAAATAAAAATATAATATTTTTGTTCAAGTGGAATTGGTCTAATGTTTAAAACAAGTTATATCAACTCCAAACACGAATCGTACCTGTTGCAATGGCTTTGGGTATAACAGCTACCTTTTGCATTACTTCAAAATTATCAGCATATCTGAAACAAATGGATAGAAGGTCAGAAAAATACTCCATGTTAAATACTTATTTTTTTCTGAGATTTCAATTGATAAATTCCTCATATATTAAGTACAGTAGGTCAGAAACTAATGCTTTGAGTGTGAATTAAATGGAGAATACTTTGTCAGCCTATCAGGGGCTACGGAACCCTACTGTTATTTGCCCAATGCAGGATAGCTTTCCTTGATTGATGGCATGGGTAGAATGATCTCAAGATGAAAGCACGCTGAGTATTAAACTAAAAATTACTATCCATGTTTTTTAAGTGTCTTTACAGTCTGGCATTTTATACAAAAAATAATTATTTTTTGGTTAAACCATTAATTTACAATCATGTAGGCTACTTAATATTTATGTTAAAACAACTAAACGTAACTTCTAAATAAATTAATTATTTGTGATTTTTTTTATCGTGCCATTTCACTGCCTCATCTTATATGCAGGATGGTTAACCCATTTTAAATATAAAACAAGGCACTAAACGCTGTACAACCTCTACAAATGTTTAACAGAGGAAATGACTAAGTGAATGATTCACCATTAGATAATGAGTGACACACCGGGATTCCGGTCAGAGACGAAGTATTCAAGTAACAATACATTCGAGGCTTTAAAACTAAAATAATCGGAAACTACAATGACAATAGTAAAGGTATTTTGAATCAACTTATTAAGTATTTACTTGTCTCGTGGTCCGACCAGACGACATTTGATGTTCTGGCCACCGTCATTCAAGAGACCCCGTAGTAAAGCGTTCGTTGGTGTTACATAATGTAACTTCACTGCCTTGTTGGAGCAGCCCACTAGAGGGGTGAGTGTCATTCCTTTCTTCTGACACACTCTACAACACAACATGTCAGTTAAAATACATTACAATACTCTATGGAAAACAGGGCTCATTGTGGTTAAATACAATAGTCTCTAGAAAAAATCAAACTTCATTTAATTATTTGCAAATCCACACAGATAAAGCCTTCCATTGACCTATTAGAATAAAATCGATCCAGTAGAACTGTAGATTTAGCTGTACAAAGTTAAACAAAAACATAACTAATTCAGTACTATCTCACAACTATTAATTTTGGGGTTGCTTAGCTTTATTGCAAATGTAATAGCTTTTAAATGGTGAGGAAATCGACCAAAGTGGAAGTTAATATTCTAAAAGGGAATAAAATGTCCTACATTCGTTTCTTGAAAATATTGAATAAAGGCAGCCAAAAGTTGCAAATAAAAAATATGAAAACCCCCATTTTAAATGTGTTCCTTATGGAAAACATGTTTATTTTTCACTATAAATACTAACATAAACTAACTTTCATAGTAATTTGCAAATCTACAGAAAGTGAGCATTCCAATGAGCCATTAATAATACAATCGGTCCAGTAGAACTGTAGATTTAGTTGTACAAAGATTTGTAAAACTGAATTATTATAAGAGTAGATGAAAAACAGAGAAAAAAATTTGCACTTAACCACAAAAAAGTTCAGTTGACTTAATTTCAGCAATTTTCCCTTTTATAGAATAAACCATAAAACCTAGGTCTCATGGTGAGACCTAGGCTCAGAACCGATCTTTCCCCCGTTTGATGTCCCCAGAGGCGAAAAACGCCATTCCTTCAAATTCATATATATTTAGCAAAATTCAATGCCACCAGTCAAAGAATAGGTTTACTTAACCTTTTACCAACAAACTACTACCAATTAGCCTATTTAAAATTACAATTTTCTAGATATTATTTCTCTTGAACTAAAAAAGTAGCCTACTTACTTTCTGATAGCAGCTCTGTCATCTTTCACGATGTTCAGAACAAAAAGATCCGCTTTGGTTCCGTTCTTGATGTGATATTGGATGTAACTCATCAGTTTGTTGTAGTTTTCAACATAGTCAACCGGTCCTGTCACTGGCTTGGGGAACTCAGTTCCCTCAGAATTCTTTTTCAAGTAAACTGTACTAAAACACGAAAATAACTTATTATTTTTTGCAGTGGATAAACAATATTAATATTGCATAACAAAGGTGTTTACAAAAGTGAAACGGTCAATGTTAAACACTGCGTCCACTAATACAATGAACATTTTAATAGATATTTTGTATTAAAGGGTGTTAACCAAGAATAACACACAATTACAATTGTTAGCCTAAATCAGATTCACATTTTACCATTACCATTAAAACCTATTCGTCTTAAATAAATACATACCGATAAATATGTTTAAGGTTAGGATCCGGATTGAGAGCACAGTCCGGAACTTGGTTCTTGTTTATATACTCTGGATTATTCTGAAATAAAACCCAATACATACTTTTAGAGAGGTGGTTATGAACTTATTTGATTAACTGTTCCAAAAACTAAAACTAAAACTAAAACTTAAATTGAAGTCGTAAATAGGCTACTTAAAGGAGAATTGTTAGTGTAAAAATGTTCAGACTAAGACATCACAGGAATAATGGTGATGTACACCAAACCTACAAAATATTCACATTTTCATACAGCAAGCAATGTTTCTTGTCTAGAGATTTAAAAAAAGGTAGTTAGTGCATTGAGCAACACTTTAGATAAAATACTTGTGTCAGTATCCACACCAGATCACTATGAAAATTATATAAACACAATGGAACTGAAATAATTGTCTAGTACTTATTTACACGATCACTATGTCAAGACTCACTATATGTGTCAAACGCACCCACGCAGGCGTTCCTGTTAGTGAGAAAGATTAGGTACAGTAAAAGCCCGCTAACCAAGCATCCGAAGATCCGTCACTTTCAATTATCCGATTTTGTCTAAAAGGCTACAAATATTTGTCAATTTAGTTTTAAGCCGTGTTAGCAAGTTTGGCACAGTTAAGACTTATCGGTGGAGTCGAGAAAAAGTCAAGACAGACACTTGGTCGATCAACAGATGCTAGAAAAATTGTATTAGTCTTGCAATAACAGCTGTTTTGAGAGGACAATTGGTAATACAGCATTTTCAATAAATTGGTACTGCCAAAGTCTCGAAGGTGCCGAATTAGCAGTGTCTATACTGTAAACCAAAATGTAAAATTTTGTGAGTCAATGGTGATTCATGGTAGAAATTTCCATAGAATGATGTCATCTGGAGGATTATGTCCGAAAATTACTAGAAATCCCATTTAGAATACTCAAACTGCTGTTATGGCGTAACAGTCAGCTAAAATTTGATTCACATGTGACATTGGTAACTAATTCCTTGTTACGAGCCACCGCATCCCACGATCCAGCAAAACTTACCCAAATAACATAAAACGAGTCTAGCAGCTTGTCGAACAAACGTTGAATAGCTTTCTCTTCGGCATCGCAATGCAGTCTACCAGTTCCTTCTGACAGTAAGACCTGAGTCTCAGGGGAATGTAGTCCACCTTGCATTATACCACACCAACTAGAACCGTTAAAAGTTTAGTTACTATTAAATTTTCATATTTCATAAGAATATGTGTAGGCCTATAAACATTAATTATTGACACAAAGACATAACTAAAAATAATTGTAAAGTAATGAAAATGTTCTTATAGTGAATCCCTTACGTAGGGAATAAAAGCCATTAAAGGAAGGTCTCATGGAAAGACCTGGACCCAGGCCCGAATTGATTTTTTTCTTTTGATATTCCCAGTTGACAAAAACACTATGCCTTTATTTTATTTTATTTTATTTTATTTTATTTTATTTCCAACGGCAGCAGCCAATTTACAAAGACAATCATGATGGTGAATACGATACAACAAAAAAAGGTATACAAAATTTGATAATATAAATATAAGTTTTCAAAGATATAACAGGTCATAAATATCCAAAGCATAACAACAAACAAAAAATAAGATTACAAACAACAATAATTACTCAAACATAACAACAACAGAAAATAAAGATTAACAAACAACAATAATTAACTACTAGTCTTTCCCAGAAAGAAGAAGAGAGGAGGCCTGCCGACGAACCTGGTGAAGTCCATCGAAGAACAGGTCACACTCAGACGCAACTCGATTTCCCAGGCGAATAAACCTTGCGAATGGACTGTTGAAGTCGAAGTTGGTTGAGTGGTATCTTCGACCCAGCAGATCTCGAGATCTTGTGATTGTAGGAACTCTGAGGTCGATTTCAGCTAGGAGATCTGGACAGTTCATGTGACCATTCACTATCTTCCAGAGAAGAACAACATCAGCCACGTCACGTCGCAGGGCAAGAGGTGACAAGTTCAGATTGCTGGACAGTTCCTCCACAGGCACATCAAGATAGGCAAAACCCAGCCGGACACCAACCAAGCGAAGAAAACGCCTTTGTAGAGCCTCCAGTCTCGTCCTATTGCCAACAGTGTAAGGCGACCACACGGGACTTGCATATTCCACGAGCTGTCTCACAAGGGAACAATACAGAGAGCGAAGAGCAGAAGGGTTGTCGATGCCTCTGGAGAATCTTGATATGAAACCAAGCATCTTGTTTGCTTTGTTACTGATGTGATCTATATGTCCAGAAAATCCCATGTCGTTGGCAAATATAACGCCTAGGTCTTTTATACACTGGGACCGTGGAATGGATGTACCAGAAATGGAGTATACGTACATGACTGGGGATTTGATGCGGTGATAGGTTATACAAGAGCACTTACTGGGATTTACAGACATGTTATTCCTGACACACCAATCCTCAATTTCAGAAAGGCTATTTTGAATTTCTTGAGAGTCTTCTGGTGTAGACACAGTAGTGAAAATCTTCAGGTCGTCAGCAAATTGTAAGGCCTTTACAGTTAAATTGTCCAGTAGGTCATTGACAAAAACATTGAAGAGGCAAGGTCCCAGCAAAGAACCTTGTGGAACTCCTGAAGAAGGTGAGAACTGAGTGGAAGTGGTAGAACCAATCCTCACGACAAGAGAGCGTTTTTGAAGATAACTAGAAATCCATGACAAAAGAGGTTCAGCCACTCCGTAGCCCAGCAACTTAGACACAAGAATTGTGTGGTCGACCTTGTCGAAGGCTTTTGCCATATCGATGTAGGCTGTATCAACTTGGTAGTTCTTGCGAAAGGCAGACAAGACATATTCTTGAAAGAGCAGGAGGTTGGAGACAGTAGACTTGCCTTTCATAAAACCATGTTGGGAAGGATGGATTATTTTGGATAGAAAAGGATTCAGTCTATCTACCACGATACTTTCAAAAACTTTGCCAATTGCCGGCAGAATAGTGATTGGACGGTAGTTCCGTATGTCGCTGGGATCATTTGCTTTATGTAAAGGAATGATGAAGCCCAACTTTAAAGAGCTAGGGAAGATTCCTTTGTTAAGTGATTCGTTGAACAACATTGTGAGGGGTTCAGCTAAGAGAGATCGGCAGTGATGAAGCATAGATGGCGGTATATTGTCAATTCCAGCTCCCTTTAAATTTATATGCACAAATATGTTCGTTAACAAAAATCAACTCAAGCAAAAAAGATTCAATTTTGATTAAATTTGCATTTTGAAATTTATATACGGTATGTGCAAACCCACATTCTTTCAAACGAGCTTGCCAACCAGCATGATCAGGGGTTTATGGGGTAAGAATTAGTTTCTCAAAATACCCCTGCTGCAGAAAACCTGCAGACTAAGCGTATAACAATTTTGTCTGGAATGATTGCCATGATTGCTAAGTCTATCAAGAAACCAAATAAGTCACGGAATCCCCAGCTTACGTACAACCTTAGGTAACCTACTACTATTCTATAAGAAAAGAACACTTAGGCCTAGTTATAAAAACATACATACCACTCTTCTTGGCCTGTCACTTCGTCAAAGAACGTCTCTCTCTTTTTTAAGAGAAGGCCATAACCAAATTCTTTAAAACTGGCTGACAATGACCCAAACAACTTCTTATCTTCTTTTGCACTTAAGTAGATAACGAGATTAGGGAAAAGTTGTTTTAAGTCAGCCTCCTGTTGATCCATGGTTCAATAATTTACCTAAACCTATTTAGGCATACGGTACTGTGTTATTATCTTTTTACATGATCTTGGTTACAATCGTAGGCCTACTAAGCATGCTCATACTCTGCATTAGTGACTGATAACGGTTGAGCATAACAATTATCCTGAAACAATAACAGAATATTAATCCAGTTAACTATAAGTTGGCATGTACAGTGAAATATACATTAATTTAAATATTTCAATCTAAAATTTAGCCTAAAACACATACAAATAAACAGTATCAGCAATCTGAGACATAATTTCTACCATTTAAATTAAGTTTTATTATCATACACAAACTGATCTGCCCCAACCTAACCTAGGCCTATATAGACCTACGCCAGGGCAAACTGTTAAAGAGTGGCAGGCGGCCTTCTTCTTGAATTGATTCATAATTATATCAGAAAATCAATAGGCCTAGACATAGGCCTACATTAAAAGAAATATTTGGATGAATATTTAAATTGAATGAAAATTACATACGTCCAATAATAGGCCTAGGCCTGTATCATAGCTTTGGCTATTGATACACTAGACATTCCATCCCCTTTAAGTTAAGGTGTTCGCCAGTTATTAGGCCTAATCAAAATCATAGTAGTTTATGTGAGCGCCAGGGTTATCCGGGGATCTATCGCTCTGGTTATCTCTGGTTTCCCAGCAACTGGGTAAGGCCTCGATCGGGTAGTGGTGTAAATGGGAGGTTGGGGTTCCCCCGTCAGCTCGCTGACGGTCCCCTTCCTTTCGGCTATGATGGCGGGTTCTGCCTGTCAGGGATTAGATAGGTCCCGTGTGTCACTTGCACTAAATGCGTCGGGGCGCTCCATTATGACCATTATGACCCTCCAGGGCCTTGTACCTGGTGGAACCCAACTGGAGTGACGCTTAAACAAGTAGCCGGTATCCCTGGTTAGGATTGAGGGGCAACCCTCTTTCCGAAGGGCCTGCTTCGGCAGCCGGTGAGGTTGATGACCTTAAGTCATCCGCCCATGATGTGCCAAAGGTTGGTGCGTAAGCTTCGGCCTACATCATGGGGCCCGGGTATGTCCTCAAGGATAGGTACCGGGTATGCAGTCAGGGGGTTTCGGCTCTCATGACAAAATTGAAATTGAAAATTGAAATTGAGCCCCAGACAGATTATGATGATCTACATTACTGATTTCAGTTGAAAGTCGGAAAGACTTTTTTAATAAGTTGGAACGACTTATTGTGAGCTATGGATAACTTACCGTACTATTGGGGCCATCAACTAAAGTGTTTGATAACTTAGGGGGCTACCAAATTGATATATATATATATGTTACACTCAAACTCTGAATTCGGACAATGTCCGAAATTTGTACCCACTTCGCGATGTGGACAATGTGAAATACCCACGTCGCGGAGTGAGCATTTTATTCGGTCATTGGCCAAAGCGAAATGCCCAGACCGTGTTGTGGGTAAACCGATTTACTCAAATGCCGAAGTTCAAACGTTCTTCGGCGATTTAACAAATCCAAAATACCCACAAGGCGGTGAGAACAAAAGTAATTGTCCACATCGGGTTGTGGTTGTGCTTGCGCATTTTTTATATCGTTAACTAAAGTTATTTTATTGTGTTTCATCCACTATTTAATTGTGCAAAAACAGTCTGGAAGTTGCATAAATTAATGAGTCGGTTCATTATAACCTAACCTTTACCTTCCTAATCTAACCTCACTTCAAAACACTTAATACAGTCACGAATCCGCAAAAAAACCCGACCTACCTTCCTCACATGCCTAAATAAGAACTGATTATTTGGTTTCAAAAATCAAAACGAATTGATTTGATTTCATTCCGCATTAGATCAAGTATAAACAGTTTTTTTGCTCTTCTCACTCAGTCCTCCTCACTCCTAACTCAGTACGGACCCGTCCAGTCCAGACCACGCCATATTACCATTACCATAGATAAAACATACTCCCTTAGTGTTGCTGGCCTATCCCTTTGGCACGATTTTCTTTATTCTTTCAAAATATGTTTATTACATCATTACGAACTAGAAAACACGTCGCCTAGGTTAGCCCACTCCTTTATAGTTGAGATAGGCCATTTTGATTGTAGCTGGTGTGACCTCGGTTCCATAAGAACCTAATTTACTAAAACTCAACTTTTTTCGTTTATACATGTTAGTTACACCTTAATAAACCATACCTAACACCATTTCGATAAAAAATATTATTATTTATCAATTTAATACATTATTTAAAATCTGCCTCAATAGAACAATAAATTACCATAAATTTCTATTGCTGGCCTATCCCTTTGGCACGATTTTCTTTATTCTTTCAAAATATGTTTATTACATCATTACGAACTAGAAAACACGTCGCCTAGGTTAGCCCACTCCTTTATAGTTGAGATAGGCCATTTTGATTGTAGCTGGTGTGACCTCGGTTCCAAAAGAACCTAATTTACTAAAAATCAACTTTTTCGTTTATACATGTTAGTTACACCTTAATAAACAATCCCTAACACCATTTCGATAAAAAATATTATTATTTATCAATTTAATGCATTATTTAAAATCTGCCTCAATAGAACAATAAATTACCATAAATTTCTATTGCTGGCCTATCCCTTTGGCACGATTTTCTTTATTCTTTCAAAATATGTTTATTACATCATTACGAACTAGAAAACACGTCGCTTATGTTAGCCCACTCCTTTATAGTTGAGATAGGCCATTTTGATTGTAGCTGGTGTGACCTCGGTTCCATAAGAACCTAATTTACTAAAACTCAACTTTTTTCGTTTATACATGTTAGTTACACCTTAATAAACCATACCTAACACCATTTCGATAAAAAATCTTATTATTTATCAATTTAATACATTATTTAAAATCTGCCTCAATAGAACAATAAATTACCATAAATTTCTATTGCTGGCCTATCCCTTTGGCACGATTTTCTTTATTCTTTCAAAATATGTTTATTACATCATTACGAACTAGAAAACACGTCGCCTAGGTTAGCCCACTCCTTTATAGTTGAGATAGGCCATTTTGATTGTAGCTGGTGTGACCTCGGTTCCATAAGAACCTAATGTACTAAAAATCAACTTTTTCGTTTATACAAGTTAGTTACACCTTAATAAACAATCCCTAACACCATTTCGATAAAAAATATTATTATTTATCAATTTAATGCATTATTTAAAATCTGCCTCAATAGAACAATAAATTACCATAAATTTCTATTGCTGGCCTATCCCTTTGGCACGATTTTCTTTATTCTTTCAAAATATGTTTATTACATCATATGTTTAGGCTAGCAATAGAAATTTATGGTAATTTATTGTTCTATTGAGGCAGATTTTAAATAATGCATTAAATTGATAAATAATAATATTTTTTATCGAAATGGTGTTAGGTATTGTTTATTAAGGTGTAACTAACATGTATAAACGAAAAAAGTTGATTTTTAGTAAGTTAGGCTCATATGGAACCGTGGTCACACCAGTTTAATTCAAAGTTACCTATCTCAACTATAAATGAGTGTACGAACCTAGGCGACGTGTTTTCTAGTTCGTAATGATGTAATAAACATATTTTGAAAGAATAAAGAAAATCGTGCCAAAGGGATAGGCCAGCAATAGAAATTTATGGTAATTTATTATTCTATTATGAGGTCCATTCCAGGCTGCATAGCTACACTACTAAAAAGTGGGCTAACCTGTACTACGTCATTTTATGTTCATAACAATGTGTTTAACACATATCAAAAGAAAAACGAGAAAAAAATTTAAGAGGAGATGCCAGCAATAGGTTTTTACGATAATTAGTTAGTAATTTTAGGTAGTTTATTAGTTTGTATTAATATCAAGGTGATTTCTACATTAATAAGCTTAAAAGTGCCCAGTATTGTTCAATACCAGATAAATAATGTAAATAGACATTTAGAACATACATTTTTGTAATAGCATCGGCGTGCAACCGAGGTCACACGAAGTGCATTCCAGGATACATAGCTACACTATTAAAGAGTGGGCTAACCTAGAAGAGGTAATTTTTTGTTCATAACCATGTGTTTAACGCGTATCAAAAGAAAACTGAAGAAAAATTTAAGGGGAATTGCCAGCAATAGGTTTTTATGGTAGTCAAATAGTAATTTTAGGTAATTTTTCATTTGGATTCAAATCGATGCGGTAACTACTTAATTAGCTAAAAAGTGCTTAGTGTTGTGCAATATGCTCTACATAATGTAAATAGACATATAAAACATGAATTTTAGTAATAGCGTCGTCGTGCAATCAAGGTCACATGAAGTGCATTCCAGGCTACATAGCTACACTAGTAAAGAGTGGGCTAACCTTGAATACGTCATTTTTTGTTCATAACCATGTGTTTAACATGTATCAAAAGAAAAACGAGAGAAAAACTAAGGGGAGATGCCAGCAATAGGTTTTTATGGTAGTCAGTTAATAATTTTATCATTTGGAAAAAATTGAGGGTGGTTACTACTTTAAATAACCTCAAACGTCTTTAATACTGTCCTTTATTCTCTAAATAATGAAATAGTAGTTTAATTTCATTCAGCGTATTGTACAGTTTTATACATACATATTAGTCAACCTTCATAATCAACGCTGTGCGTGTACCGCCAAACACCATCTTTGCCGTGTTTCGCCTAAAAAAGTTCCCGCCACTTGATATTTTGGAGGTTATGTCAGCTGCTTTGTGACGAATCCTGCTGTGACGCCATCATTGTTGTGACGTTTTACTGTGACGTATATTCGTCGGAGGGGCGGTAGGAGAAGTGGAATGGGTTATTGCTGTTCTATTGCCAGTTTCACGCTGATGTAGGCCCTAGCCTAAAAATACACAACAAAAATAAAGATAATTAACTTATGATGCCTTATTTTGGTTATACGTTTTCCTACCACCACAGTGCCCGACAACGGTTTTTTTAAGTTTATAAATTAAATTGTATTAGTATCCTACAACCATTGACTTGGTGTCTATTACATTTATTGTAAAATATTTAAGTTACAGACAATAAAGATTCTGTCTCTGTCTGATTCTGACAACTTCAACTTCACCTATCCCTCAATCCCTCACACCACACCAACTCACTTCCATTCCACTAGTCCAGTCAGTCCAGTCCAGTCCATCCACTTCCTTCTTCTTCTTCTTGCTATAGTTGGATAGTGGCTTGCTTTGCTTCTGCTTTCTGCTTGCAATGCAATGCAGGTGAGCATTTTTTCGTCTAAAAACGCCGTGCACTATCGGTTAAATATCGAAATACTAAGTATCGATATTATTTCGGACCAAATGGGTTCGATTCAATCGATTATTGAGAAGAGAAGAGAAAGCTAAACGAAACAAAAGAACAAAGTACAGTAAGTAAACTAAAACTTACTAAACGTGTAAAGCTAAATGGCGGAGTACTAAGGGTAAGGGGTTGTGGTGTTGTGTAGTCTATGTTTTATTCGACAAAATGGATTCGGACTCGGAATTAGATATGGGAAGTGGAATTAAAGAAAATGTAGTTAGGCCTAAATGTTTCATCTCTAATAGCTATGAAGATTTTTCATTGAGGCTAGCTGAAATGGAAACAACTACCAGAACGAGGTTCAACCTTCGCACATGTACTAAGAAAGTTTTAGATGTCAAAGGTGAGTCGACTAATTGGTTTTCTCAATTATTAGGCCTAATTGGTGGTTCTAATTCGAACGTGAAGGTATTATTGTAACTCTTCCCAAATGCTCATTAACTTACACAAGTTGTTGGCCTAGGCCTATTTATTTCGAGTTCGATAAAATTACAAAAAAAGCCCAACTAAAAAACTGAGTTATGTTAGGCCTAACTTCCAGGTTCTCTTGTAACTTTTTGTGTTATACCTTAGGCGGGTACAGTTTCTTAACTGGTGAGCAATTTTTCGTCTAAAAACGCCGTGCGATTTCGCGACTATCGTTCGTTACTCTATCGAATCACATCATCTATACTACTATACTATCGATTCGATTCTTCGATTGTAGTTGTCGTTTGTTTTGTCGTCTGTTACGGCGGATCTGTCAGAGGCTTTATTTGCATCGAGCGTAGCGTACAATGTTTTGTAAGGACGGATATAATTAGAATTCCTTTTAGGATCAATATTATTTTTTTTTTATAAATTCATCCTGATCACACTTTGAAATTAATCGGCTAGTTTGTTCTTCTCGCCAAATTTAAGAATAATTTAAGCAACTGAATAAATATTGATCAAATCCCAATCATCAAGTTAGGCTATGAAGAGTAGAATGGTAGATATACCTAATTTTCTCTGGCAACCACTCACAATAGTTGGAGTAAGCTCTAGTTGAAAAATTGAACATTTAAAGGAGCCTGGAGAATATGATATTTTGTGTTAGGTCATAGACAAAAAGAATTGTCTATGGTTAAGTTACAAAGAGCCTACACGAGTGTTCC